GGATATCTCTGCAAGCAGGGAGGGATCACAGGTTCCTGAGGCACAACGGCCTGTGGTAAGTACCCTAACCCGGCTGCGATTGGAGAGCTGTGGAGCTTCCAAGGGGCAGGTGGGTGCACACTGTCCCTGAGGCCCAGCTTGTCTGGAACTGCGGAGTTCCGAGCAGGCAGAGGAGGGCCATTGGCTCTGCGGGCCCAGTGGCTTGGGGTAGCGTGGGGCCAGAGTCTCAGTAGCTGCAACCATAGAAGGGGATTTTCAACAGATCCTGAGGAAGCTTTCAAATAACATTTGAAACACAGAAATATAGGAAAATGACAAAACGAAAGACCAAATTACAACCTCAAACCTCCAGCCCATCTCAAGAAACCCTAGGAGCAATGTATATAGAAGAAAATATATGCCATCCGCCTCAAATATCAGACACAATAGCTACTGAAATTGACAAGCAACTCCAGGAAGCTTTAAAGAAATTCAAACTGGAAATAATCTCCCAGATAAAAGAAGAAATGATAAAAGAAATGAAAGAGATTCTGAATATATCTAAAGAAAACACAGATAAAAAATTGGAGGAACTAAACAAAAAGATAGAATCCCTAGACGAGCAATATAAGAAACAAACAGAATACATAATGCAGATGCACAGAGATATACAGGAAATAAAAAACTCCACTGAAAGTTGTAAAAACCGCCTTAATGAAAGTGAAGATAGAATTTCAGACCTTGAAGACAGGATTGCAGCTAGTGAACAGGAAAGGAAAGATCTTTTAAAAATAACAAGGAATCAGGAAACAACAATTCAACAACTGCAAGACGATGCAAAGAAGAATAACATAAGAATGATAGGGATTAATGAAAAAGAAGGAGACAACATAAAGGATGTCAAGAGGATATTTAGAGAACTAATAGCTGAAAATTTCCCAAGCATGAGATCAGAAACTGACATCAGGATCAGTGAAGCATATAGAACTCCAAATAGTCATAACCAAAATAAAACTACACCCAGACATATAATAATCACCATCCCAGAAATCCAACACAAGAATAGATTATTAAAAGCTGTCAGAGAGAAAAGACAGATCACTTATAAAGGAAAACCTATCAGAATCACAGCAGACTTCTCATCACAAACAATAAAGTCAAAAAGAGCACGGAGTGAAGTATTCCAGATCCTAAAGCAAAATGATTTCCAACCTAGACTGATATATCCTGCAAAACTATCATTCAAAATTGATGGTGAAATACAATACTTCTATGACAAAGAACAGCTGGAGAACTTCATGAACACCAAACCAACCCTGCAAAAAATATTGAAAGACAATTTAGATACACAAAGGAAAAAAACCACTAAGCAAAGCAAATAATTAAACAGAACAGAAAGATAACGATGCAACAGCAGAGAGATAACATTTCTACAATAAACCAGCATTTAACAGTAATAACCATTAATGTAAATGGTCTCAATGCACCAATCAAAAGAAACAGACTAGCAGAATGGAACAAGAAACAAAATCCAACCATATGCTGTTTATAGGAAACCCATCTAACCCAGAAGGATACTCACAGACTGAAAGTCAAAGGATGGAAAACAATTCTTCATGCAGCAGGAATCCAAAAAAAAAAAGGCAGGAGTAGCCATTCTGTTTGCAGACAACGTGAACTTTAAACCAACAATGACCATAAAGGACAAAGAAGGTCACTACATACTCGTAAGGGGAAAACTCCAACAGGAAGAAATAACTATCTTAAATATATACGCACCAAACTCCAGAGCACCCAGTTATATAAAACAATTATTAACAGAAATGAAAACTCAAATTATCAGTAACACAATTGTAACAGGAGACCTTAATACGCCACTGACACCAAGGGACAGATCAACCAGACAGAAAATGAGCAAAGAAATAACAGAAATGAATCACACCTGTGAACAAATGGGTTTGATAGACATATACAGAATGTTCCACCCATCAACATCAGAATACACATTCTTCTCAGCAATACATGGATCATTCTCTAAAATAGACCATATATTAGCTCACAGAACATATTTAAACAAATGCAAAAGAGTTGAAATCATCCCTTGCATGTTAATTGGATCATAGCGCTCTGAAATTAGAAATTAATGATAAAAGATACTGCAAAAATCCCGCAAACACATGGAAACTGAATAACACACTCTTGAGTAATCAATGGGTCACAGAAGAAATTAAAGAAGAAATTAAACAATACCTAAAAGAAAATGAAAATGCAGATACAACTTACCAGAATCTGTGGGATGCAATGAAAGCCGTCCTGAGAGGAAAATTTATTGCACTGAGTTCCCACATCAGGAAAACAGAACGAATACAAATAAATAACTTGATGCTACACCTCAAACAGCTAGAAAAAGAAGAGCAAGTCAAGCCCAAAGCCAAAAGAAGAGAGGAAATTATAAAAATCAGAGCAGAAATCAATGCAATAGAGACTAAGAAAACAATCCAAAGAATCAACGAATCAAAGAGTTGGTTCTTTGAAAGAATAAATAAAATCTTTGCCCCTTTTCATAATAATAATCATAAGACGGGATATGAAAGAGTTTTGACCCAGGCCAGACACTGTAGCTGGAAAAGCCTCAGCCGGAACCAAGGAGCTCCTATCTCCCCCACCTCTAGGAATTTGCCTATGGCACCAAAAGTATACCAATGGACTACTTGTGCATCTCTAATGCCCCCTTAGTTTCCACCCCAAACCAAGGCTACTTATATGCCTCCACTCCATGTGTTCCACAGAGAGATCGCTGACCCCAGGGGGGAGATACCACACCCCAGGGGATGGGGGTGTCTCTCCCCACATTCTCAAAATAAACGGCATTTATATTTCATACTTCTTATCTTTTCAGCCGCCACCAGTCCCCCACAGTTCTATCCGCTGCCAGTCCCCCACAGTTCTATCAGAGGCTTTATATGGGAGACCTCTTCCTCTTATCCTTAAGGTTTCTAAAAAAAAATTAGCTGATTTAGCAATCAAGATCTTATTAAGTCTCCCCCACCCGACTTTTCAGCCAGTTCTGTCTTCCATCCACCGGCTATTTTGCTGCTACCCACTGCGAGGACAAAGGCCCTGCTGCAGAGCCTGAGACACCACTGGTCCTTATCAAGCGACATCACATAAATCTCTTGAGCCACGATGGTAGCAGAAAAGTCTGCCTGGATTCATCATTCCCACTGCAAGCAGGTCCGGCTTCCAAAGGTGATCAGCCTGCAAATAAGTGGTCTGTCATTTCTTCCAAGGATTCTTTAAAACTTAAGGTTGCCAAATGTAACTGATAATTTGGTGTTCTCCCTTATAGAGACCTCAAGGAGGCCTCTGTCTGACTTTATTTATTTATGTATTTTGTCTTTTTCGTTTTTATCGGTACCAGGGATCGAACTCACGACTGTCTGCTTGCAAGGTAGGCGCTTATGCCACTGAGCTAAATCCCCAGCTCCTTCTGTCTGACTTTAAAAAAAAAATTGTTACTTGTGTTGTACACTGGAAAAAAGAGCTTGTACACTGGAAAAAAGAACTTTGTTATATTTGTATTATACCAAAATACCTGTAACTTGGCCTTGCTGTGTATGTGTTTTCTTTCCCCCTCTGGGTGACCTAATTGATATGTTAATCAATGCTCTCCTCTGTAAAGAATTGTAAAATCTTACCTAATTGGTATGTTAACCATTGTAGCCCTCTACAAATAACAGATGTGGTGCTAAAATAAGCTAACAGGGGTTGTTACTGCTAGACTGCTCTGTCCTCTCCTAAGGAAAACAAAGGTCTTATCATTAACAGTTTTCCTGACCCATGCCCAGGACCCCTCTTACTTTGTAAATTGTGACATGTACTTAAAGGTGGCAAGTGTAGAAGAAAGACACAGACACACAGCTTTTGCAATCTCCTACTGCACCGTGTTCCTGGGCCCAGGGTAAAATAAACCAGCGCTGCTTTTTAAAATATGTTTTTACTTCATTTTTTAAACTCGGGGTGGGGGGGGGTTGTGGATTACAAGACACACCTGTGATCCCAGCGCTCTGAAGACTAAGGGAGGAGAATGGGGAGTTCCAAGCCAGCCTGGGCTACACAGCAAGTTCAAAGCCAGTCTGGAGTACACAGTGAGACTCTTGTCTCAAAACAAAATTAAACAAAAAATAAAACTGTACTGCTATTGTCTCAAAAAAAAAATAAATAAAAAGAGGAAGAGAAAAGATAGAAATGCCCCCCAAACCAAGCAGCAACCTAGGAAGCATCAAATGGATGGAAGTGATTCAGGCGGGATTAGCAATCACTCAAAGGCGCTGCTCTTTCTGGCTTCTTGCAAGGTGATGGCTATTTATTTATTCATTTATTTGCATCGGGAGCTGCCAGGAAAGCACACATCATCACCGCCTATCTCCAGTCGGACCCTGAGACGTCAGTCCTTGGTGCCACCTTGGCGGATCTCAGGGGCGACATGCAGGACGGGGACGTGGCCCCCGGCTCTGGAATCCGAGGCAGAAACGCTCGGTCTGGATCCCCGAACTGCTGGGCTGCTGGGGGTTCGAATGTCCTCTCCACGCCCGCTCACCGCAAAAACTCACAACGGTGGGGGGACGCTGTGTATGAAAATAAATGCCGAGGGAGGGGGGTTGGGACAGATGTTTAAAGCCACATTTACAAGGAAGAATAATGAGCTTTCTTTCCTTCTTTTCGCTCGGGTCTCACACACCTCAGAGATGTCCTTTGCTTTTTCCACACAGTTTACAATACACAGTCTCTTCCCGGCGCTCCCCCGGAAGAAAATAAACCCTCCTCGTTGGCCAGTTTCTACGTCAGTCTCTCCTCTTCGATTGCGATTGGTGTGTTTTGAAATTCTCGCTAGTCCCGCCTCTCTCACATCATTGGCTCATTCGGGGAGACCTATTTCACGTTCGTTGGTGGAGATAAAAGACCAGCTACGATTGGTTCTTCTATATGGAGCTAGTCGGTGATTGGTTAATATGATTTGGGCGGGCTTGCGGCCGACTCAAAGAAATCGCGGGGAACTCTCCTAACCGACACGCTGCTGTGGAGAAGCGGCTCCACCTGCTCACGTCTCGTGGCTCCCACCGGTTTAGTCGCCTTTGGGATCCTCGAGCGTCTTCACGACCGTCACCATGGAGGTGTCACCACTGCAGGTACAGTTCGCGGGAGGGGGCGGGTGGCGGCGAGGGCTGAGCGCATCCCGGCCTGGTTCGGCAGTTCCAGAGGGCTGAGGCTCAGGGGCCGCGGCCAGGTCACACTGATTTCCCGGGGGTCGCAGCGTGTCTCCGGAGTCGCGGGGTCCGTCCCGGTATTGGTCTGGGTCCCCGGAGAGGCGCTGGCAGCCCGGGGCTCGAGAATGTCCTTCCTGTGACCCGAACTGCGTGGTGGCCGGGGGCGGGGTGACAAGAGTCCCCAACTGCCTTCCCGGAGTCTCTGTTAGGCGCAGGACGTCGAGGGCACAAGAGTTGGGGTTACAGCGTCCCCAGCGGCTTCTCTGTAGTCCCATTAGGTGGTGGTGGGGACCTGGCGGGCACAGGGCTGGGGTGACCGTGTCCCCAGTTGCCACCCTGGGTGGGGGGGTCCCCGTTGGGCGCAGGGGCACCGCGGGCTCCTCGGGAACCCCCTGTGAGGCAGAGGGGAGGAGTTAGATGTGTCCTCAGCAAACACAGAAAACTGCTCGAGGCACTCAGGAGGCTGAGGCAGGAGGATCGTTGCGAGTTCGAGACCAACCTGGGCTACAAAGTGAGCTCAAGGCCAGCCTGAACTGTATAAAGAGACGCGGTCTCAAAAAGAACCGAAAGAAAAAAAAATCTATTCAAGGAGCCAGTTTCTGTGTCAGGCACCCACGGGGACACACAGTACCTCTTAAAAGGACACCCAGGAACCTGTTTCTGGGGACCTAAATTGTCACCTGTGCCGAGAGCCGTCGCTTTCCACTGGCAGATGGCAGTGTGTGGTGTAACATGCTGAAGCATATTGTTAATACTTCCGATAAACTTATTTAAAAATCTTTTCCTCCCCCACCACGGCTAGCCTGTCAATGAACATATGCAAATGAACAAAATTAAGAAAAATGAAGATGCCAAGAAAAGACTGTCTATCGAAAGAATCTATCAAAAGAAAACGCAGTTGGAACATATATTGCTCCGCCCAGACACTTACATTGGGTCTGTGGAATTACTGACCCAGGTAAAACCAGATAATTAAATGCAGTTCCATAATGATTGAAATCTGTTAATTTTTCAGATTAATTTTCTGTAACTCTTGTACTGAGAGTCACTGGAACTGGCCTATCATTCGAATGCATATATATTTTTACGTGGTACTTAATCTAGAAGACTTTACAGTAATTATGACAAATATTTCTTTACCTTCTTTGTAGCAAATGTGGGTTTATGATGAAGATATTGGCATTAACTACAGAGAAATCACTTTCGTTCCTGGTTTGTACAAAATCTTTGATGAGATTCTAGGTGAGTGAATTCTTTCACATAATAAAAAGTCTGTGAGTCAAGTCCTTCATAAGTATCATTCCTCCCAAAACCTCTGTAGTCAGTGACTACAAACAATCAGCTGGCAAAAGGCAGTCTACTAAACTTCCAGAAGTTGAGTTTTTCCCTAAAAGCATCCTATGAACAAAAATCACTTTTTAAAAATTGCTACTGAGAAGAGGTCGCGAATGTAGCTCCATGGTAAACTACTTCCATAGCATGTGTGAAATTCTGGGTTCAATCCCTAGCAGTGGAACACACACACACTACTACTGTAGGGCTTTGCACACTACTGCATACCTGTAATTGTAGCAGTCTGGGAGGTTGAGATAGGAGGATTATAAATTCAAGCCCAGTTGGTCAACCTAGGAATTTTCCTGTCTCAAAATAAAAAGAGCTAGAGATGTGACACCATGCAAAGGTCCCCAATAGCAAACAGAAGAAAAATACGGGAGCAGGAAATGGGGCTCAGTGGTAGAGTGCTTGCTCAGGCTCTGGGTCCAAACACAAGTGAAAAGAGCAAAGCTTGTTAATCCTTTGTTATTTGGAATTTTTTTTCTCTTAAAGAATGTTTTAAAAACTAATGTGTATTTTCTTTTCTTCCAGTTAATGCTGCGGACAACAAACAGAGAGATCCAAAAATGTCTTGTATTAGAGTCACAATTGACCCGTATGTCTCTTGCCTAGTTTTTTGTTAGAGATCATTGTTATTGTCAGTTGCGTTTACTCTGAGTACTAGTGAAATTTGACATTTTTACAGTGAAGGTTTGCAGAGGTACAGAAAGGCAAAATGCTAAAATGAACAGCGATGGACACTACCTAGATCAACAGTTAGCATTTTCCCATATACGCTGCATCTATATTTTTTCTGAATTATTTCCAAGTAATTCAGGTATTCTAATACTTAATTTTTGCGTATTTCAGCTAGCATTTCCAGATTTCTACAAGCATTCTGGAGATTGGAGCTTTTAACTTTTTCTCATAGTGCATTCAAACAACAAACCAGCAGGTGGTGGTAGAGAACAATTTGAGCTAAATGGCAGGTTTTTAAATGATGTTATTTTGTGGGTGGTCCGGGCACTTGTTTCTTTCCCCATTGGTCTGGCTAGTTGGCACATAAACTATATTAGAGGCTCTTTGGGGAGCATGTTAATGATGACATACTTGAATGCTCCTCCAGGCTTGATAGCATAATCTTTAATTAGTCTTTTTATAGGTGATACTAAGTTCTGTTTGGAGTAAAAACCATAGCATAGTGGATGTGGTGGCATACATCTGTACTCCCAGAACTCTTAAGAGGCTTCAGCAGGAAAATCAAAAGTTCCAGCCTAGCCTGGGCAATTTAGTGACTGCAGAAGACCCTGTCTCCCAAACCCTGGCTTTTCTTTTGGTGCTAGGGATCAATCTCATGACCTCGAGTTTGCCAAGCAGGCACTTACCCCACTGAGCTAAACCCCCGGCCCTAGGATCCTGTCTCAAAATAAAATGGGCCAAGGAGATAGTTTAGTGGTACCCGGAGTACCAAAAGTGTATCTTCTGAGAGTTAACTAAAATAACTATAAACAGTGTATCCAAGTGAGTTTTTAGCATTTTTATTAGCAGGGAAATTTATAATGGATATATTTATATCTGTTTTACAATGTGCTTTGTTAGGTGAGAAGCTAAGGGAACTAAAAACATACAAATGGTTCCCTTAAAAGTATTGTAACAATATTTTTCCACTAGGCACAATCATTTCCCTTTGTTTATCCCAACATTTTAAAATTTCATATTTTTTCAACATTATCTGTATCTACACAGGTGTTGGAAAAGGTTTCCCCCACCCCACCCCCAGCTCCTCTTTCAGGCATATTAGGAACTAAGCGTAGTGGGAAACATTACTCATGCTCAATTTCAGGTGGTATATCTGAAAAAAATCATAATGAAATTGAAACTGGAAAGTTTATATTGTTTAGAAATAATAGCATTTGAGTGTTGTTTAATATTAAACATTAGTTTACCAGGTGTTTTATAATAGAATTCCCAATCTTTTCTTCTTAGAGAAAACAACTTAATTAGTGTATGGAATAATGGAAAAGGAATTCCTGTTGTGGAGCACAAAGTCGAGAAGGTGTATGTCCCCGCTCTCATATTTGGTCAGCTCTTAACATCTAGTAACTATGACGATGATGAAAGGAAGGTAACAGGTATAGTACTGAAGGGAAATGAACATACTAAGAACTGAAAATACGCATCTTTTAAATGACTGTCTGGGCCAGGGATTTATCTCAGCAGTGTAAGTGCCCGCCTGGCAAGCATGAGGTCATGAGTTCAATCCCCAGTACAAAAAGAAAGACCCATATTAAGTGCCTATCTGCAGCCTAGCATGGTGGCACACACCTGTAGTCCTAGCACATGGGAGGCTGAGGCAGAAGGATCACTGCAAGTTGGAACCCAGCCTGGGCTACATAGTGAGTTCAAGGCCAGCCTGAATTGCATAGTGAGACCCTGTCCCAGTAAATAAATATCTGGCCTGAGGGTTGTAAATATGAGAATAACCTCTATAATTGAATTGGCTTTACCATGATTAAAAAATAAAGCTGTCAATGAAATTATAATAAAGCTGTTTTATATTTGTTTGTCCAGGTGGACGAAATGGCTATGGAGCCAAACTGTGTAACATATTCAGTACCAGATTCACTGTCGAAACAGCCAGTAAAGATTACAAGAAAATGTTCAAACAGGCAAGTAAATGAGTCTCCTGTGTCTTGATTATAAATTGTAGTAGAGCCATTATAATGACATTAATGGTGGGTTTAATTTAACACAAGTTATTAAATTGTGGAACGTTACTCTTGCTATATACTGGGTTACTTTTCAGGACTAATGCGTTTAGTTCTCATTCATGAAATGAGCTGTGTGTTTCATGTTTTCTATTCTCTCCTTCCACAGACATGGATGGATAACATGGGGAGAGCTGGTGAGATGGAGCTCAAGCCCTTTAGTGGGGAAGATTATACCTGCATCACCTTCCAGCCTGATTTGTCTAAGTTTAAAATGGAACGCCTGGACAAAGATATTGTTGCCCTGATGGTGAGGAGAGCATATGATATTGCCGGCTCCACTAAAGATGTCAAAGTCTTTCTCAATGGAAATAAGTTGCCGGTGAGTATTTCTCTGGCTAAAGACACAAGAAAATTTGTGATCATTGTCAAATGCAAAACTGATTTTTTCCCTCCCAGTATTTTCCTTTTCATTTCTCCAGATAAGTTTCTAAAAAAAGAATTGAGTACATTTTTTAGCCAGATCATTTTAAACTCAGAAGGAATTTCTTTCTCAAAGAAACACTCTTATCTCCCTTTTTTTTTTAAAGGGATGTTATGGTTTGGGTCTGGATGTCCCTCCAAAGTCACATGCAGTTGTGGGGTGGACTCCTAGAGTTTGTGACTGATTGATGGTCCAGAGCTGGGATTATGAGTGTGAGTGCTACACTCACCCTGGGGCAAGTAGCCTGCACCATAAGGGAGGGAAAGTGTTGATTCTCTTTCCTCCCCTTTAGGCTCTTGTTGCTTTTGCTGTCTGCCACAGTGAACTGCTGCCACACTGCCCTGCCTTGGAGCGAAGCTGATTATGGTCTGAAACTTCCACAAACTGAACTAAATAAACCTTTCCTTCTTTAATGCTGAGTATCAGGTATTTTGTCTCAGCACTGAGAAAAAACAAAGACAAGGGGAAAGGTTTATTTAGCTCAAAATTTATAGAGGTTTCAGTTCATGATTGCTCCAGCGCTGGTGGCTTGGCAGAGGAGAACAAGCGGAAGGCAGCAAAAGCAAGCAAGCAAGGGTCTTAAACCCTTCTTCAGCCACCATTTTCTTAGCCCATTGGTGAACATCATTTCATTAGTTTTGAAAAGCCCTCAAAGTCTATCACAGCTCTACTTTTTGTAGCTTTTAACCTATCATTACGTCTAATTCCTGACAGGTAACAGGATTCCGTAGCTACGTGGATATGTATTTAAAGGATAAGTTAGATGAAACTGGCAACCCACTGAAAGTGATACATGAACAAGTAAACCAGCGATGGGAGGTGTGCCTCACCATGAGTGAGAAGGGCTTCCAGCAGATCAGCTTCGTCAATAGCATTGCTACCTCCAAGGTAACTTTTCAAGTATTCTTAGTGTTTTTAATACACACAGTAAAAAAAAAAAAAAAAAAAAAAATACACACAGTAGACAAACACTGGGCTACCTGGCGTAAAGAAGTTAAATACATCTTTAAGTACTTGGTTATTATCGTAATTGTGGGAAATCCGAGGCTGACAGTTACTCTTTCTCCTTAGGGTGGCAGACATGTTGACTACGTAGCTGATCAGATTGTGACCAAACTCATGGATGTAGTGAAGAAGAAGAACAAGGGTGGCATTGCCGTGAAAGCACATCAGGTATGGCATGTTAGCCCTGCGCTTTGCCTGAGATCAAGGCAGAAGGAGGGAAGACTAAGCGAAGCGTGAAAGATACTTCAGTGACTATAGCAACAACTCCTATTGCAGGTGAAGAATCACATGTGGATTTTTGTGAATGCCTTAATTGAAAACCCAACCTTCGACTCTCAGACAAAAGAAAACATGACTTTACAAGTCAAGAGCTTTGGATCCACATGCCAATTAAGTGAAAAATTCATCAAAGCTGTGAGTACTTCAAGGGGAAGAAAAAGAGAAGTACCTGACTTTATTTTCCATTGCCCTTCTTAGCTCTACAGAAATAGATTTCCTCCCACACTATACTTCCAGTTTTCCCAATCTAAAAAGGAAGTTAAAAAAATAGCTTTTTACTGCCATTGAGGCCTTTTTAGCCCATCAATATGCCTGTATTTTTCCAAGTAGATACAAATTGAATTAGTTACCTCCATACTCATGACTCACATTCCCCAACAAACTGTTTCCTATCTTAGTTGAAAAAAAAAAAAAAACCACACCCAACTACTGGGTTGGGTAAACAGTAAAGGTGGGAGCTCTTTATCTAACATAAGAGTCATTTCTTGTATACCTCAGTAACCTCCCTCCATTTTTCTCTTTTCTGGATTGCTACAGGTTCTTTTTTTTTTTTTTTTCTTGGTGTTTTGTTTTTTTGGGTTTTTTGTTTTGTTGTACCAAGGATCAAACTCATGACCTCACACTTGCAGGTGCTATGCCGCTGAGCTATGTCCCCAGTCCCTGTAATAGGTTCTTAACCTTCGCGTTGCGGCAGCCCTGCCTTTGCAATGGTCTTGTGCAACCTTTTTGTGTTAAGGCATACATTTGTGTCTCTGACCTGAAATCTTTCAGTGGCTTTCACTTAGGATAAGTCTGAACTCCGTTTCCTCAGGAAACTTTTGTTTACCCATCTCCCAGCTAAGCCAGTTCCAGCATAACATTGCACTCCCCTTGTTACTATTTAATCATGACTCATCATACTTGTAATTTCTGCCTTTACTTCTCCTTTCCACTTGAAGCTGCCTGAGGATAAGGACCTTGTCTAGTTTGTTTTAACTGTTGTGCTCCTAACAAGTACTCAGCCCCTAGCACAGCATCAATACGAACATAGTAAGTGTTTATTGAATGAACCAAAAACAGTCAGCCCCCTGCCTGGTGATAAGACAGGAAGACCCAGAGATTAGTGTTCTGTTTTGCAATCTTTGAATTATTTTTATTTTCCTGGAGGTTTATTTCTATTCTAGATATGTGACAGAATCCTTCTCTCCTCATATGAATCTTGTTTTCAGGCAATTGGCTGTGGCATTGTGGAAAGCATACTGAATTGGGTGAAGTTTAAGGCCCAGGTCCAGTTAAACAAGAAGTGTTCAGCAGTCAAGCATAACAAAATCAAGGGAATCCCCAAGCTGGACGATGCCAATGATGCAGGCACGTATTTAACAGCGCTTCCAAACTAAATTTTGTGCATCAGTTGTCTTGTTAAAGCATACCATACATATTTCTCTCTTGATGTTTAATATTCGATACAATAACTTTGCTAACAATAATAAAATCTCTGTTGTTAAACATTTAAATCACTTCCAATTTGGGGCCATTATAAATGATGTGGAGATAACATTTGTGATATAAAGTAAGAGTATTTACATAGAGTGATGTATTGCATAAAAAGTATTTTCTATATAATTTGATGAGATGAGTATGTAGCAGTAGTGTTTAGTACTGTGCGGTGTTAATCTAAGAAACTGATGCAGTTTCTTCCCTGTGTGCAGAGGGTATAGTCTAAGACTCCCAGTAGGTACCTGAAACTGAGTGGCACCAGTACCAGCATGATTGTATGTGCTGTGTTCCTCCTAGACGTACACGCGTGTGATAAGAGCACAGTGAGAAGTTAACAGCAATAACTAACAGAACAACTTTTACCATACGTTCTAAGACAATTGATAAAAGACTGCCAGTAATAGCCTTTCAGATACTGCTCCTTGCTTCAGAAATAGCTATCATTCTTGCTAATTTCTTTTCTTTCTTGCTTTGTAGTTCTGGCTGGCCTTGAACTGACTGAATAGCCCAGGCTGGCCTTAGACTTATGGCCATCTTCCTGCCTCAGCTTCTCAAGGAATACAGGTGTACACCACCACACTGGCTCTTCCACTTTTTGAAGGAGTTCTAGAAGTCCTGTTTTATGAATGTCCTTAGTTGTGCTCTTGTGGCTGCTTTGATGCCCTGAGTCAGTTCACCATGGTTGGTGTTTATGGTCATTTTGATTTTGGGAAAGAGCCAGCAGTAGCACCATGCCAGATCTGGTGGATTTGGTGGCTGAGGCCACTCACATACATTTATGAGGCTGCCTTTCTGTTGGACAGCACTCAACAACAGCATCCACAGCCTTGGTCCTAAAGATAGGTTCGAGCCGGATGTGGTAGCACATATCTGTCATCCTAGCACTCGGGAGGCTGAGGCAGGAGGATTGTTGTGAGTTTGAGATCAGCCTGGGCTACGAAATAAGCTCAAGGCCATCCTGAACTGCATAGCGAGACCCTGTCTCAAAAAAAGGAAACACAGAAAAAAGACAGGATCAAAGACTTGCAGAGCTGCTTCAGAAGTGGCAGGAATGATGGGATAAGTGTGTTCAAAGTGTGTGGAGGGGGGAGTATTTTGAAAGAAATTAATGGCAATATATCTTTGCTGTAATAACTTCTAATTCATATATTCACTGTATATTTGGACCGCACTTGTACCATGCTCACCACTCTTATGATGTGAGGTACTCAGGCACTTATGCACTCCCTAACAGAGGCAGGTAAGGCATTGCAATACAGTGTTTGACTACTACAGAAAAGTTATTTGAGTCCGAGCCCTAGGCTGACACGATCAGTCTGATAACCCTGACAGCTGCTAACTTGCTAACAGAGAGCACATGTAGTGTGGACACAGCTAACAAAGTAATGATTTCTGGCCTGGTGGGGCCTTATGAAGTTTCATCACACTACGCAGAACATTGCACAATTTTAAATTTATGAACTGTTTATTTCTGGAATTTTCCATTTAATATTTTTTGGACCATGAAACTATGGAAAGTAGAGCCAGGAATAAGGAAGGCTACTGTAGTTTTTCTTTACTGTGAACTTTAAAGTGTGTATCGCATTGGCTCCATTTTATTCCTAAATTGTGTTTTATCTCAGGGCTATTAACAGCATTGTCTGAATTAGTACATTCAAGGTAATGAAGTAAATGTAATAAAACTAGTGTGTTTTTGTTTCAGGAAGCCGAAATTCCACAGAGTGCACGCTTATTCTGACTGAGGGGGACTCAGCCAAAACTTTGGCTGTTTCAGGCCTTGGCGTGGTTGGACGAGACAAATACGGGGTTTTCCCTCTTAGAGGAAAAATGCTCAATGTCCGGGAAGCGTCTCATAAGCAGGTGGGACTGAAGCCCAGCTAGAATCTTAAGTCTAGCTTGATGTAGGCTTCATGCTTGTATTTCACTTCCTCATTGGGTATTCTGAAATATATCTTAGACAGGTTGTTGTTATTTTAAGGAATCGTGCTGAACATGTGTGACTTAAACTGTTAGGGCATGTGCTGTGGTAACAGATTGTAAACAACCTTTCAGCCTTCCTGAAATTCACATGGACAGATGTGGTAATGTGCTCCTGTAATCCCAGCTGTTCAGGAGGGATCACAAGTTCAGGTCCAGCCTGAGAAACTTAACAAGCCTTTGCCTTGATTTGGTAGAAGGGCTGGGATTGTAGATTAGTAATAGGACCTGTAGGAGCTAGGGATTTAGCTCAGCAGTATAAGCACCTGCCTTACAAGCGTGCAGTCATGAGTTTGATCCCCAGTACCGACTGATTTAAAAAAAAAAAAAAAGTAAACCCAACAGGCTGGGAATGTGGCTCAGTGTATAGTGCCTGCCTGGAAAGTGCAAAGTCCTCAGTGAGATTCGTGGTATGGAAAAAAAAAGGTAATAGGACCTGTATTCAATTCCCAGAACCATGGAAAAAAAAAAAAAAAAAAGAAAGATGACAGACTAATAATTCAGAATCCTAGAATTCAGGAAACCCCAGCCAGTACATGCCAATATCCATTATTCTTCTGTATTTTTGCCACATTTATAGACAGAACATTACTCTTTTTGGTTTGTGTTCATTGTAGATCATGGAAAATGCTGAAATTAATAACATCATCAAGATTGTGGGTCTTCAATATAAGAAAAACTATGCAGATGAAGATTCACTGAAGACTCTTCGTTATGGAAAAATAATGATTATGACTGATCAGGTCAGACTTATTAGGAAATATTTTAGGCCACTGAAGTAGATTAAGCATTTATTGTTCTTACTGCTTTTGTTGTTTTATATTAGTTCTTCTGTTAAAAAAACTTGTGAACTCCAGTCATAGCTTTTTAAGATTTCTAACAATTGTTTTATGCTTTTATGCCTTTTCAAATATTTTTTAGGATCAAGATGGTTCCCATATCAAAGGCTTGCTGATTAATTTTATCCATCACAACTGGCCCTCTCTTCTGCAACATCGTTTTCTGGAGGAATTTATCACTCCCATTGTGAAGGTATATCAATTTATAAGACACAAAGATAAATTTTCTAAGCGCCTGCTCCACAAACCTGCCTATAAATATATTCCCACAATGTGTGGTGGCGGGCAGGAAACCCCAACATGCAAAGGTACAGCAATGTTCTTTATCACAGGTGTCTAAAAATAAGCAAGAACTGGCCTTCTACAGCCTTCCTGAATTTGAAGAATGGAAGAGTTCTACTCCAAATCATAAAAAATGGAAAGTCAAGTATTACAAAGGTTTGTAATAAAACCCGTGTGGAAGGTCTCAAATTTATGTATCCCTGTACAAGGCCCCATGGGTGACTTGGTATTCTTGGGTTTGCAGGTTTGGGCACCAGCACATCAAAAGAAGCCAAGGAATACTTTGCAGATATGAAAAAACATCGAATCCAATTCAAATATTCTGGGCCCGAAGATGATGCTGCCATTAGCTTGGTGAGTTTGATTTGTGTTCTGGAGATATTCTAATTTTTGAAATCACTGCTTTAGCTTACCAATTGAAACATTTGGATTTTTACATGTTTTTCATCAAACACAGAGTTTCTAGTAAATATATCACTTTAGAAAAAACCCAGATATTTTAGGAAAAAAGAATTTTGTTTTTTTTTTTTATAGAAGAAATATTCTGGAACCTGTTAGTACCAGACACATCTTTTTCATCTCCTGATTTCTAGGCCTTTAGCAAAAAGCAGATAGATGATCGAAAGGAGTGGTTAACTCATTTCATGGAAGACAGAAGACAACGGAAGTTACTTGGTCTTCCTGAGGTAAAAATTTCAAATGTTTCCCACAAAATGTGCTATTTCATTAACATAGGATTTATGTTACAGCAAATTAAACTAAGTAGTTATTTCAGTAAGAAATTTAATGTAATAAATAACTTTGGGGCTGGGGACATAGTCCAGGGGCAGAGCATTTAGCTGGCATGCACTAGTTCCCTAGGTTTAATCCCCAATATTACCCAAAAAAAAACCCCTACAGTCACACACTATATAATTGTGTTATCTTCATGCTCCATCACATATGCAATATTGTTCCTATAAAGTTATGGTGAAGGGGAAAAATCACCTAGCGACCAAGTATAAAGTTAGGGCAAGGATTACTCCTGTGTGATGATTCTGGTGTGAACAAAGCAACTGTTCTCCTAGTCTTTTTTTTTTTTTTTTTTTCTTTTTTTGGTACCAGGACTCAAATTCATGACCTTGCGCTTAAAACTATTGGAAAACATTACATTTCTATGCTAGCAGTAATCTCCCACATCTAATGTCTACCAAGACTCTTAATGACATTATTTCTCATTCTTTTTTCTTTTTCCTTTTTATCGGTACCAGGGATCGAACTCACGACTGCCTGCTTGCAAGGCAGGCGCTTATGCCACTGAGCTAAATCCCCAGCCCCCTATTTCTCATTCTTGATGTAATGTCATCGTGATTGTTTTCATGGTCCTAGAAGCAGTAACTTACAGCATTTAAAATACTGGACACAGTGACACACAGCTATAATCCCAGCATTTGGGCAGCTGAGGCAGTAGGATTACCATGAGTTTAAGACCAGCCTGGGCTACATAGTGAGTTCAACGCCAGCTTGAAATACAGAGCAAGATCCTGTCTCCAAAAAACGAACGGAAAAAACTGATTTTATTTATTTATTTATTTTTGGCTTTTTCCTTTTTATCAGTACCGGGGATTGAACTCAGGACTGCCTGCTTACAAGGCAGGTGCTTAGGCCGCTAAGCTAAATCCCCAGCCCCAAAAAACTAATTTTAAAAAGTATATATATATCACATGTAACATGGGAGGCTAGAGATACATACAGCTCAGCAGCACAGCACCTGCCTGGCAAGCACAAGGTCCTGAGTTCGATTCCTATTGTAAAACACAGGAGTAAGTGTATGTGTGTGCATTTAGGGCTTGTGTAAATTTGCATTATGATAGTCACATGACCAAATTGCTAGTACTGCACTTCTCAGAACTTACCCCTATTCTTAAGTGATGTATAAGTGTTTATATTTTTGTTTGCACTACTGCATAAGTGTATTGGACCTGAAAAAAATTATAAAGACAATACACCATTTTTCTAACTGCAGCAATTAAGTTTCCTTTGTCTTGAAAACATAAAATATATTGCCAGGTATTTAGCTCGACGGCATAAGCTCCTGCTTGGCAAGTGTGAGGTCGCGAGTTCGATCCCTGGTAAAAAAATAAAAATTTCTGCCTGATTATATTTGTGAGGAATGTAAGGATCATCGAAATGATAGTTGTATTTGCTGAAAAGAAAATTTTGCCAAGCGTGGTAGCACATGCCTATAATTTAAGCACTTGGGAGGCTGAAACAGAAAGATTGCCATGAGTGTGAGGCCAGCTTTGGCTAACCACATAGTGCACTCAAGCCCAGCCTGCATTATATAGGGGAACCTTATCTCAAAAAACAAAACAAAAAAACTTAAAAGAAGGTTTTCTGCTATTATCTGTTTCTTCCTTGTAAGAGAATCTTTTTTGGGTCTGTACTCTGCAGAACTGCTTTGAAGATAATGATTACAACATATTAACCACTGCTACCTTCTTATTTTTATGAAATTTCATTTTTCTCATAAAATAAAATTTTAAAAAAGCAATGATAATTGTAAGAAATTAGCTTTATTTTCATCCTCAGCATTGTTTTTGGTTTTCTGGGGCTTGTTTTTTTGTTTTTTAATTTTTGGTGGTTTTTTTTTTTTTTTTTTTTTTGTCTTTTTCATTTTGGGGGCTGGGGATTTAGCTCAGCGGCATAAGCACCTGCCTTGCAAGCAGGCGGTTTTGAGTTCGATCCCTGGTACCAATAAAAATGAAAAAGATAATTTTTGGTTTTTTGAGACAGGGTCTCACTATATAGTTCTGGCTGGTCTTGAACTCACTATGTAGCACAGGCTGGTTTTGAACTCAAAGCAGTCCTGCTGCCTCAGCCTCCTGAGTGTTAGGATTACAGGTGTGCACCACCACACCTGACTGCTCAGCATTTTTAAGACCAGTAGTTAATTTTAAACCAAATCATGTAATATCTTTGGTTCCCTCAGGATTATTTGTACGGGCAAACTACCACTTACCTGACATATAATGACTTCATCAACAAGGAACTTATCCTGTTCTCAAATTCTGATAACGAGAGATCTATCCCATCTATGGTGGATGGTGAGTTCCAGTTTGTTACTGTGTTTTATGACATGGAAACTGATGATCAGACATAGTTAAATTAAGATTACTGACTCTCTCCTTTCATTTTAAAGGTTTGAAACCAGGGCAGAGAAAGGTTTTGTTTACTTGTTTCAAGCGGAATGACAAGCGAGAGGTGAAGGTTGCCCAGTTAGCTGGGTCAGTGGCAGAAATGTCCTCTTACCATCATGGCGAGGTGAGATGGCTGCAGTGTTTTCAGAAGCGCTGGGTAGCCAAAGAGCTGCAGAGACACTGTCCAGGCACATCTGGTGCAAGCAGAAGCCATGGTAGTACAGGCGTAGTAAGCAAAAGCTTCCGTAGAGAGCAGTTTATTGTAAGTTATATCAAACTGCAACACTTCATCTTAGAAAGATTATTCCTACAAGGATACTCATATTTGGGTCTGTATTCATATTGAGTGGTGTTGATTTGGGGTAAGTTGTAATGCGTATGTGTATAGAACCAGTGACATAAATAAAGCTACACTAACCCTGCACAATGTGCATTTTTCTACTGCTAGTGGGGAAAAAGGCAGAATATTTAATGAAAAATGCCTAGGAGGATGCATCCCAAAATGTTCACTTTTGCCAATAAATATTTTTAAGAACTACAGTGCCAGTCAATGTGGTGGCTGACACCTTTAACCCCAACACTCTGGGAGGCTGAGTCAGGAGGATCCTAAATCAGCCCCGCCTGGTCACCTTAGTGACTTAGTGAGAATTTGCCTCAAAATGCAAAGTAAAAGAAATGGAGAGGTAGCTCAGAGTACAGGTCCTCAGTTCAGTCCCCAGTGCCACTGCAAAACATCACCTACAGTTTTCTGGAAATTTTAAATGCAATGGTTGTGCACTTTGCAGCTTTAAATCACTATAGAGTGAGGACTCGCTAAGTATTTTACCCAGCTAAGTTTGTTGCATTCTTATGGTACCACCCACCACTTTGGGATGTAGCCTTCTCAACCAGGTGAATAAAAGTACAAAACATGTTCCCCGCCTGCCAGGCCTAGCCATGGCTTAGCCAGAGGCTCAGCACACGCTGCAGCATGAATGGATGCATGGTGAAAGAAGCCAGCCAGTGCTGTCACTCAGGCAGGGAAACGTGTCACTTTCCAGAGCAAGAAATGCCTTCAGAGCTCAGTGGAATTTACCAGAGATTAGTCAAAGACAAAAGCCCTGAACTTGGGCCACTTTTACCATCCATTTATACGGGAAAAGAAAGCATAGACATCTAAAGCTCACAGAACTTTGCATGTCTGCACTGAGGCTTAGCCATTGTGACAGATACCTGTTATTTAGGTTAATGACTCTTTTTCCCCCTGCAGATGTCACTAATGATGACAATCATCAATTTGGCTCAGAATTTTGTGGGCAGCAATAATGTGAACCTCTTGCAACCCATTGGTCAGTTTGGCACCAGGCTGCATGGTGGCAAGGATTCTGCTAGTCCTCGATACATCTTCACAATGCTCAGGTGAGTCACCCTTCAGTTTCTAGTGAGATAGCTATTTCCAGTGTTGAAGCATGTGAGACCAAAATTCATTAGAAGATACTGGCATCTAGGGTGCAGAGGTCAGGGGTGCTGCCATAACACCCTCCCGGATACAGGTCAGCTCCCCAAAACAAAGAGTCATCACTTGGCGTGGGGGTACACACCTGTCATCCCACCAGTCTGAAGGCTGAGGCAGGAGGATCCCTACAAGTTCCAGGCCAGCCTGAACTACATAATGAGACCTTGTCTCAAAGAAAAAAAGCCAAACAAAAAAAAGAATTACCCAGCCCAGAATGCCAAGAGTGCAATGGTTAGAAAACCCTGAAGTAGAATTTAGATCTATGAAAACCCAGGGAGCAGAGATAGAGCTCAGCGGCATAAGCGCCCACCTGTTAAGTACAAGGTCCTGAGTTCAATTTCCAGTACCAAAAGAAGAAAAAGGAAAAAAAAGCCAAGGTTGGAGTTAGGGTTCAAATATAGTCCTATCCGAAAGGCTTTGATTTTTCTTAGCATGTTTTGTTTTCCTTAACAGGCAGGTTCTCATTGTGTAGCCCAGGCGGGTCTCAGAATTCCTGGGCTCCAGCATCATTCGGACAGTTAATCGCAGATGTCTTGTACTCTGAGTAACTGATTTAAAGATAACAATACGCAGTCTGCAGACCATTTTTACCCCCTAATTATCATGTTTTGAAATTTGGTTTTGTTTTTTTTTTTCCTCTTTAAAAATCAAGAAGGAAAAAAAGTTCCTGGGCCCAGGGCTACAGGCATGCTGTTCACTCCTCATTAACTGGCTTTCAAGGCTAAGAGCCCTACCCCTTACTAAAATAAACGTGTACTCCTGCACTGCATAAAATGCTGGCCTTTGGTTGTTTCCTTCAGCCCTTTGGCTCGGTTGTTGTTTCCACCGAAAGATGACCACACCCTGAACTTCTTGTACGATGACAACCAGCGTGTGGAGCCAGAGTGGTACATCCCCATCATTCCCATGGTGCTGGTGAACGGGGCCGAGGGGATCGGCACCGGCTGGTCCTGCAAGATCCCCAACTTCGATGTGCGGGAAATTGTAAATAACATCAGGCGTTTAATGGATGGAGAAGAACCTCTGCCGATGGTAACTGTTCTGTGTGTCAGGGACAACCTTTTCCTCCAGATCCACTAACCCTAACCCTAACCCGTGTGGCTGGAGAGGGTGCTGAACAGTCTCAGTTTCCCCCTTGTTCCTGAAACAAAATAACTTGATACCCACAAGTGCAAAGAGGAAAGGCTTGCTTTTAAATGTTTGTAAAGATGTTAACAGGAGACTCACTGCTTCTAGAGGTTTCTGCCCATCGTCCACTGCTTCATGACAGCAGCATGGCAGAGGGCTTGGCAGAGGAAAAACAGCTACTCACAGGCAGAAAGCAGCAAGCAGCCCATTGGTTGGTGCCACCCCAGCCACGTGGGGCTCCCCTCTTCAATAACTCCATCACCCCAAGTATCCTAAACCATTCAGTTATCACACACTCGTGATGCAGCCACCCCAAAAACCCCACCTATGAGTGGAAGTCATAACAAACACCTGTGATTTCTGTCTTTTGGGTCATACTTAGAAAACTTTTTTTCAGTTTGTTTTTCTTTTATTTGGCCCTATGTTCTTAAAAAAAAAAATGCCTGCCACTGAGCTATATCATTTACTTTTAAGATCAATTCAGTTTTTATTAAATTAGTTCTATTAAATATGCTAACAGCTCATATAGCAGAAAACACTTTTTTCCATTCTTTTTTTAAATGCCAATATAGCTTCCAAGTTATAAGAACTTCAAGGGTACTATTGAAGAACTGGCTTCAAATCAGTATGTGATTAATGGTGAAGTAGCCATTCTGAATTCTACAACCATTGAAATCTCAGAGCTTCCCATCAGAACATGGACCCAGGTAAGTAACTGTGGCTTTCTTAGTTGATTTTGTGTTCGGAAGACTTTTGCACTATGGCTATTAACTGTTGAGATTCCATACAGAAAGACTGTCTGTCTCTTTAGACATACAAAGAGCAAGTCCTAGAACCCATGTTGAATGGCACCGAGAAGACCCCACCTCTCATAACAGACTACAGGGAGTACCACACAGACACTACCGTCAAGTTCATTGTGAAGATGACTGAAGAAAAGCTGTCAGAGGTGGAGAGAGCCGGGCTCCATAAAGTCTTCAAACTCCAGACCAGCCTCACCTGCAACTCCATGGTACGCCTGCCTGTGTGGAGATGTGCGCTCCGATTCCAGTACGGATTGTATCAAGTTCAGGAGACATCTGTGGCTGTTTTCATGGACCTCACTAAACTCACTCGACTCTGATCTCCTCTCCAGGTGCTCTTTGACCACGTAGGCTGTTTAAAGAAATACGACACAGTGCTGGACATACTGAGAGACTTCTTTGAACTCAGGCTTAAATACTATGGATTAAGGAAAGAGTGGCTCCTAGGAATGCTTGGCGCTGAATCCTCTAAATTGAACAATCAAGCTCGCTTTATACTGGAGAAGATAGATGGCAAAATAATCATTGGTAATGTTTTCATAATTCTGTGTGCTAAAAATGTAATCTTTCATTAAACATTTTTGGTGAGAGGGAGAACAGAATCTATTCAGCTCACCTGGCTGCTCATACAAGAATGTCTTTAGTATCTGATGAGGTACTTAAACTTTGAAAGAGAAAGCTTTTCCAAGATTGTGTCAGAAACTGAACCCAGAGCCTTGTGCACACCAGGTGTGCCATGCCCCATCCCCCAGACCATGCATCAGGGTTTACTTGCCGATTACAGGAAAACAGAGCTGGAGGACCTTACCACAGGACAAGACTAACTGACACAGAGGAAAAGGCAGGACAATCCTAAGGCAGGAAAAGGGCAGGGGTGGGGTGGGATAAGCGGGTGAAGATATGCCTCTCCCAGGACCATCCACCCGGTGATCACCACCGTCTGGACCCCATCTCCTCACCACACCTTAGTCCATGGCGCCCTACTCATCCGGTCACCTGTACACACATGCAAGGCTTGGGGGACACTTCAGACCTCAGCCGTAATGCCTGGTGTCTAGAACTCCTGGTAGCGAGTGACCCACTGTCCCTCATGTGTAATAAAATTAACTACCCTGAACGCTGAGAGAGAGAGACAAATCACAGCCAAAGAGAAAAGGAATGTGTTGCAGAGGACTGTGCTTAAGACAGCCTCAATCTTTGGGTGGGTAGAACTGAAAATTGGCCCAATCAGACGTGAAATACAGCAAGCTGGAGCGGGGTGGCGGGCCTCGCGCCTGCACCCCAGCACTCACGAGGCCGGGGCAAGTGGGTCGCCGTGAGTTCAAGATGGCTCCTGGACTACCTACAAGACCCTGTCTCCAAAGAAAAGACAAAACAAGAAATGAATGGGACAGGAAACACAAGTGAGGGAGATACAGATATCTTCCTATAAAGGCTTTAATTCCCTTCATTCCTCTTAAGAGTTCTGATTAGATCACAGCCTCATTTATGACTTGACTTAGGCCTTGTAATTGACTTCTGTTACTGATTTAGGGGAAATATGCTTTTCTAAGCCAGGATGTTACAAATGTATGCCAGTGTGATTATAGTTTAATTTTTTGACTTAATGTGGTAAAACCTTACCCGTTTCCTGAAATCTTACACGAAGCCGTTATCTCTGTTTACATTTTTTAATAGAAAACAAGCCCAAGAAAGAGCTGATTAAGGTTCTGATTCAGAGGGGCTATGACTCCGACCCTGTGAAGGCCTGGAAAGAAGCCCAGCAGAAGGTAGGGTCCCAGGCACGCGCCTCGCAGGCGTGGCCTTTGCCTTTCACTTCCCCCGTGCATCCCGCATTCTCACCCACACTTTAGGTTCCAGAGGAAGAAGAAAATGAAGAAAGCGACAGCGAAAAGGAGGCCGCAAAGGGTGACCCTGCAGCTGACAGCGGGCCAACCTTCAACTACCTCCTGGACATGCCCCTCTGGTACCTGACCAAGGAAAAGAAGGACGAGCTGTGCCGACAGAGGGATGAAAAGGTAGGTACTGCGGCGGGGTGCTGCTGGGGAGGGCCTGTACCGCACCACGACGCTGCTCTGCACGCACTGACCCCGCATTCTGGTGATCTTTCAAAGGAGCAAGAGCTGGACACACTAAAGAAAAAGAGTCCATCCGACTTGTGGAGGGAAGACCTGGCTGCTTTCATTGAAGAGCTGGAGGTAGGCAGCCGTAACGCCCACGTCCCAGGTTCCCCGGGGATTATGTGTCCCAGCAATGGGCCCCCAGGCCGAAAACTTACCACTTATCACAGCATACAGAAAGCCTGAGGATACATTCCAAAATAATGTAAAAGGATGATTATTAAGTGCCAGAAAGTACCACTCTACCCAAGACTTCTGAGTTTGTTTTGTTTTTGGGTAGTGGGGACTGGCCTAGTGGTGCTCTGCCTCTGAGCTATGTCCTCAGCCTTCGGTCCCTGTTTTATTTTTATACTGTGTTTTGAAAGGAAGGTATAAATGACCTGGGCTGACTTCAAACATTCAGTCCTCCTGCCTCAGCTTGGCAAAATAAAGCAAAGACAGGAATCAGCTTTTTAAAAACAAGTAGCCAAGGACCCTTTAAAAGCTAGAAGATAAGTGAGCAGAGGTGAACCCACTCAGCCCTGAGTCTGCCTAGACAGACAGAGCCACTTTACCGTCAGGGCCGGCCAGTCACATAAGTTTCAGAAGATCCTTTGTTACCTAAAACTCCTGAAGACATATAAGGAAAAAATCTGACTCAACGATTTAAATTTAACGTGCAAATTAATATTGTCACCATTCAGTATAGACGTCCAGTCCCTTGGAATCAACTGGTTAGATACGTATATGCAACGTATTTTATCCTTAGATCAGGATTTCCCTTTTTATCTGCAGAAATAGTAACCAATCGAATTCCACCGAAAAACAATCTTCCGTCTCCACCTGACTGCTCAATGTGCCTTAAAAATGTACGCACCATGGATGATGCGCTTGGTTAGAGAAGAGCATCACAAATTTAGCTTAGGAGGAACCAGCTTAAGTCGGTTTAGCTATTGCTCTTTACTCTTGCAGACTTTCAGTAGCTTCTAAACTTGCTTTCATAATTCTAACCCTTTCGTAGGTTGTTGAAGCCAAAGAAAAACAAGATGAGCAAGTGGGACTTGTGGGAAAAGGAGGAAAAGGGAAAGGGAAAAAGGCACCCGCAGCTGAAACCCTGCCTTCTCTGCAAGGAATCAGAGTCGTCCCCCGAGTGACCACAGAGATGAAAGCAGAGGCAGAAAAGAAAATCAGGAAAAAACTTAAGGTGGATACTCCTGAAAACACTACACCTAAATTCTTGAAGCATAGTACACTTAAAATCAAATGACATTTTTAATCCTATGGTTTGAAATTTATCCTTTATCTAGCAGTAACTTTCTTAAGCATCTGATTTTTTTTTAATGTTTAACTGTCTTGAAAAAAAATCACATACATACCTCTATTCAGGGCTCACTAGCTAGCTAGCTATTTATTTAAATGAGACAGGATCTTGCTGTGCAGTGCAGGCTGGCCTGAACTCGTTGTGTAGTCCAGGCTGGCCCTGAACTCCCAGCAGTCTTCCTGCCTCAGCCTTCCAGCGGCTGGGATTACAGGAATATGCCACCATGCCAGGCCTGTTCAGAGGCCTATTCAACCAGAACCCAAGAAGAAAACAGTCCTTGACCATGTGTATCTATATTTTTGACCATATGTATGTTTGTCTATTTAACTGTTATTCCCAATAAGGTGGCAGAAGGTGACCTCTTTCTTTGTCTTGCTGTCTTTTAGACTGAAAATACTGAAGGGGCCCCTGCTGAAGACAGTGTGGAAATGGATAGCCTGAAACTAAAGTTAGAAAAGAAACAGAAGACAGAACCAGGTGCCTACAGCATTTTAAGCAAGTGTGACAGAAAGCAAAGAGGAAACTGTTTGTGGCGCTGTGCTGAGCTGAGCTGAGCTGCAGTGGGTGGTGTGGGGAAGGGCCACGAGTGAGAGCTGACTGACCTGACAGCTGGAGTGGCACGGGGGGAGGGGGGGGGCTCTCCAGTGCCTCGGGGCTTGCTTCCGGCGCCCCCGGCTCAGAGTGAAGGTCCTGCTACACTCGGCTCCCCTCCGGGAGTGGGCACCAGCACCAGCTCGGCTCTTCCTGCCCCTTTCCGTCTCCACGCTGCCCTGGGAAGGGCGCTTTCAGTGTGGGGCCAGAGCCTCAGCCAGGCCAGCCCCTCCGGGCCGCTCCATGTGTGCGGCGGTGCCCCGGGCCTTTTGTAAGTGCTGTGTTCTCTCAGGTGTTTCATCGCCGTCTCCCCTGTAGAGCAGGGATTGATTTCTCCCTCCTTTCTAGGTACCAAGGCAAAGAAACAAACCACATTGCCATTTAAGCCTGTCAAAAAAGGAAAGAAGAGAAACCCCTGGTCTGACTCTGACTCAGAAATGAGTAGCACTTCTGAAGGTCATTTTGACCTCCCGTCACGGGAGGTGAAGCAGCGGCGAGCTGCAGGTAGGGAAGCCGCAGAGCACACTAGGCATCGTGGAGGGACGCAGCAGCCTGTGGCTGGAGGGCGCTGGGTCCCGGGTAGTGTTTTTGTGGAGCCGGAGTCTCCATGCATAAGGCCAGCCCCGAGCTCACTGTAGCCCAAGCTGCTCTCAACTCACAGCGGTGCTCCTGCCTCAGCCTCTCAAAGTGCCGAGGTCACAGGTTGTGCCCCCACACCCAGCTAGAAATTATTTGTTTATTGGTTTTTGAGACAGGGTCTCTCTATGTAGCTCACGCTGGCCTTGATAGAAATTATTTCTAAGAGTAGCAAATTATACTGAATATGTGAAAAATGGAAACACCTCTTAGGAGATGAGATGTAAGCTTACATATCCATGAAGCGGTGTGTTGGTGCGTGCATAAGTGGTTTCACCGCCCTCTGAGCCCTTATACATGCGTGTGTTTAACAGCAAACACCAGATTCACCATGGATTTGGACTCAGATGAAGATTTCTCAGATTTTGATAAAAAAAATGATGATGACTTTGTTCCATCAGATGCTAGTCCTCTGAAGGCCAAGAGCCTCCCACAGTAAGTGTCTTTAAGGTGGATTTGTGTTTGTTGTTGTTGTTTTGTGGGGGGGGTTTTTTGTTGTTGTTGTTGTTGTTTTGACACAGGGTCTCGCTGTATAGTTGAGGCTGGCCTGGAGCTCACTTTGTAGCCCAGGCTGGTCTTGAACTCACAATGACTCTCCTGCCTCAGCCCCCAAGTGCTGGGGTGAAAAGAGTGCCCCACCACGCCCAGAGTCTTTTTTTTTTTTTTCCTTTGGTACTGGGAATTGGCTGCAGCACCCTGCGCTTGCCAGGTAGGCTGTGCTGCTGAGCTGTGTCCCTGTCCCATCAGGACAGGTTTTCCTGGGGTTCTTTTTACTAGGAGGTAATATGACTTTGACACTAAGAGTTGGTTGTCAGGATGTTGGTTTTTTTTCTAGACTTACTAAAAAAGAACCAAAGCCACAGAAAAGCATTGCGTCAGGTATGTACTTAACAAAAACAGTAAGGCATCTGCTTTTAAGGGGACAGCCAGGTGCCCATGGGCCTCCCCTGGGCCATGGTGCCTGGCCTGCATTCTCCTGAGCCATTGGGTGCCGCAGCCACCAGGTGTGGTCCTGCACGGGAGGGAACAGGTCCACTTCCAAATGCTAACACTAAGCAGGTGCCATGCCCAGTGCCATAGCCCGAAAGTGAAGAGGTCCCGGGCTAGGGCTGAGAGTGGGGGGGGGGTGTTGCACGGAGGGTGTTACCCGGATGTCTGGGGGGGCAGCAGCCAGTGGCTCCTCATGGCTCCCCCACTCCTGCCTTTGCAGTCGCTGGCCCTGAGCCTGAGGACTCAGAGGATGGGGGGCTCCCTGCCTCTGGCCCTTCCGACGATGCCCCTGCCAGGCTGCCTGCAAGCAGCGTGACCACCAAGAAGACAGCAACCAAAGGTAATCGTGGCCCGGGGGGGGGGGAGCCAGGGGCTCCTTGCCTCAGTTTCCTGCTATTGACTGCAGTTAGCCATTCCCCAGTGCAAGTGATCTGATCTGTACCGAGACACAGTTCCGCAGTGGCCACCTCAGAGGATCCTGGGTCCCCAGAGTGTCTCTGGTCCGTCAGTGTCCCCCCTAGTCAGCCGCACCCAGCACCCAGGCGGGGCTCGCAGGACCCTGATGTCCCCGGTTCGGCCAGCAGGTCAGTCTTCCAGCCCTACCACTGGGGCCAAGAAGAGGGCGGTGCCCAAGAGGGCCCCTACCGCTGGGGACAAGAAGAGGGCGGTGCCCAAGAGGGCCAAAAAGGACCCAGCCTTGGACCCTGAAGCCCCTGAAAAACCTGATCCCAAAACCAAGAGCCGCTGCAAAAGGAGGCCCTCTTCCTCCTCGGATGACTCCGACTCCAGCTTAGCAAAGATGGCTCCCAAAGGGGCCAGGAACAAGGTATGATCCACCCTTGTCCTCCACTACCTTCCTGCTGCTCCCTGGGGTGGAGCCGGGTGCTGTCCCAGGGCCGCACCCCTGGCCCTTCAGAAGGGAAGGCAGGTCTACCAGTGGCCCCGTATCCGGGCCCTCTGCATCTCCATGGACTCCCGCCCCCTTAGCTCCCCGCGTAAGTGCAGCCACACCGCCAGGTTAACCTGGAGCTGCTGGCAGGGCGCAGTGGCCTCCGCACCATGCGAAGCGCTTGGCTTCTCTCCTTAGAGACCCAAGGCAGAAGGTGACGACTTCCAGCTGGACCTCCAGTCGGCCGTGGCCCCGCGGGCGAAGTCTGCCCGTGCCAGGAAGCCCATAAAGTACCTGGAGGAGTCCGATGAGGACGAGCTGTTTTAAGGCGTGAGGGTGTTGCCATCCCTGTGTCCTCTAAGCTTGATACCAGCATGAGAGGCGGTTCTAGGGAGACCGCAGCCATCTGCGCGCTGAGATTTCGCTTAAACAATGAAATACTGCTCTAGCACTGTCAGCTCCCCAGAGGTTACAGAAAACCCCCGTGACTGTGTCTTATGACCTCACCACAGCCCGAGGAGGGGTCACCCACATGCTGCAGCTGCCCAGAGCCGGTCGCAGCAGGGCAGGTGGGCAGTACTCAGCTGCCTGCCCTGAGCAGCCCCTCTGCTGGCAAACCTCACTCGGGCCTTTCCACAGCGTTATGTCTGTCAGTGATGTTCTCAGTGTTTCTGTAAATATTTACGATGTCTTAGCTCACTTTTGAAATTTTATACCGAAGTAAAAAGTTCTACATATGGCATCGAGCACTCTCCCTCTCCTAAATCCCGCGCCAAGCCATTTCCTTACATTAGGTCCTCCTCAGGCTGCTCATTACCCTGAGCCCAGGCTAGCCGCAGACTCAGGGGACCCTTCTGGCTCGGCCCCCTGAGTTCTGAGCTGGCAGTCCTGTGCCACCATGCCCTGCTAAGAGCCATCAATATTTTCCCTGGGACTTTTTACGTGGCTACTAAAGTCTTCATCACCTCCACACTCCCTTTAATTTAAAATAGTTTTGTTTTTATTTGCAGTCCTGGGGTTTAAACCCAGGGCCTTCAAACTGACTGCATCCCCAGCCCTTTTCCAGCACCTATTTTGAGACAAACCATTAAACTGTCCAGTGGGACTCACACTTGAGATTTTTCTGTCTCAGCATCCCAGATCCTGGGGTTACAGCTGTGCACCAGTGAGTGTGGTCAAGAGCTTTAAATTTGTAGCTTTTAAAATGATTCCCAAGCCAGCGTGGTGGTGCGTGCCTGTAACCCCAGCACTTGGTAGACTGAAGCAGAGTCGCCATGAGTTAAAGACCAGCTTAGGCTACAGAATGAGACCCTGCCTCAAAAACAGTTCCTTACTCTAAAAACACGTGAGCCAGGGATATAGCTCGGGGGCATAAGCACCTGCCTGGCAGGCACATGATTCTGAGTTCATTTCCTGACACCAAAAAAATAACCTCAAATCGCCCTGCCTGGTGCTACCTGAAAGTTGTGCTCGGGCACTGGCTGGTCTACTAGGGGAAATGCTAAGTCAGCCCATCTCCCTTGTCACCTCTTACACCAAGGTTAAGGTCAAGAAGCTTTTTTAAAAATGAAAATGTTTTGGTGCTGAGGATCCAGCTCAGAGCCTCGCTGGTACCAGGAAGCACTTCACTACTGAGCTATACTCCTCGGTCTCTGTATAGCCCAGGCTGCCCACAAACTCATGGCAGTCTTCCTGCTTCAGCCTCCTGAGAGCTGGAGTTAGAGCAGGCCCCACCACACGTGGAAGTCTTAAAATTAAATGTTAAAACACTTCAGTCAGATGTGAGCATACGCCTATAATCCAGGCACTCTGGTAGATCCAAAGTTTCAGCCCAACCTGGGCAATGTCTCGTCTCAAAACTGAAAAATGTGAGTCATTCACTGAGCCAGGCGTGGTCCTCACCTGTAATCTCAGCACTCAGGATGAGTGCTGAGGTAGGAGGACCACTGCGAGTTCGAGACCAACCTGGGCTACAAAGTGAGCTCGAGGCCAGCTTGGGCTGCATAGGAGACCCTGCCTCAAAAAAAGACACACCCCCCCAAATCAAACCAAACACAATGGCTATGTTACACAGAATAACACTCAAAACATAAACCACTCCTACTCAAGACTGGTGCCTATAAATCCCCAAGACAGTCTCACTGTGCAGCCCAGGCCAGCCTTAAGCGCTCAGTGGCCCTCCTGCCTCAGCCTCCCACGCCCTGCGGTGATGGCTTCAAATCACTCACAGGTCTCAGTGAAACACAGCTGCTGATTGGACCGTGCTGGGGAGAGGGGGATTCCCCAAGGATGTCAGCGCCACAGCTGTGGACCCCACTAGGAATAATGCTGAAAACAAAATCTGAGTGTGTTCCAGACCTGTGGGCCACCCCCTGCCGATGCAGAAGCACCTGGGTGGGTTTGTCACCCTGGGGACAGAGCCCAGGGCATGGCTTTTCTTTTTTTTTTTTTTTTTTTAATCTTTTTTTTGGTATTGACTGGGGATTGACCTCATGACCCCCTGCTTGCAAGGCAGATGCTTATGCCACCGAGCTAAATCCCCAGCCCCCTAGGGCCTGGCTTTTACCTGAGACAGTGTGTCACCAAGTTGCCTGAGCCAGACCTGACCTGTGGTCCTCCTGCCTCAGCCTCCCGGAGTGCTGGAGTAGTGGCAGCACCGTGGGTCACAGCTGAGCTTCAGCTGCTCCCAGATGCGTTCTGGGTAGTTTTCGTTTTGTTTCTTTGGACTTTTCCAATAGTTTACAAAAATAGCAAATATTTTCCTTCAGAATGAAAAGGGCTTTTTTTTTCTGGCCATAAAAGTAACACACGGATTCCAGTGCTGACCAGGGAGTGGGGGCCGTGCCAGGATGGGTCACAGACACGCTCCCTTCCCATTCACAAGAACCCCCAAGAAGGCAGGGTGCCCTCAGTTCCCTGTGCTGTCACAAGGTCACACAGACGGCCTTTGTTCTGTTTTCGTATGTTTGTGTTTTGAGGCAGGGCCTCCATTAGGCTGGCCTCAGGCGCAGGGCTCTCCTGCCTCAGCCTCCGGCGATCGTGGCCTCCACCCCTGGCTTGCGTTTGCTTCCTTAGGACACCCCAGAGGACCTGCGTTCTGAGCTCCCCTACCCCACAGTCACTTCTCCAGGTCTGGCCTGGTGCAGAGATGTCAAGGCAGAGGCCAGCAAGTGGGCGGCCGAGGCCCAGGGAGACGGCCCAGCCCGCGTGCTCAGGTGCCTGAGTGACCATGCAAGAATCCCACTCCAAAGATAGAACCAAGGCCAGGCTTGGTGCCGCACCACCGGGCATCGCAGCACCCAGACGCTGAGGCAGGAGAATGGCAAGCTGGAGCTGGGCCAAGATGCTGCCTCAAAATAAAAAGTAAAAGGACTAGAGATTTAGCTCAGCGGTATAAGCGCCTGCCTTGCAAGTGTGTGGTCGTGAGTTTGATCCCCAGAACTGATAAAAAAAGAAAAAGACAAATAAAAATAAAAAATAAAAAGTAAAAGTGGGCTGGGGTGAGCTCATCGTGTCTGCCCTGTCACATGGGCGTCGAGGGACACGGGCCAGCACTGAGGCCGGACCACAGGGCCACATCACAGACGGCAGGGAGAGGCCAGGGCACTAGGGGTCGGGGGAGGAGGGCGTGGGCCGCAGTCCCCCCCACACACACATGTCCTGTCTCCAGCCTGTGGCACTCGGGCTCGGCCATGGCCTTTGGATCCTGTCCAGAGTGGCATCCCCCACCTGGGCCACTCCCAAAGGGCCTCTCCAGAGGTCAGGCAGTGACCATGACTGTGGCACCCTGCAGGGCTCAGCCCAGCATTTCCCAGCCCTTCCGGAGCACCGCTGGGTCCCCGTCCACTGGTGGAAAAGTGTGTGGGTCCCTGAGGCTGAGGGACAGAGGACGCGTCTTGTTCCACCCCCCAGGGCCAGGCCCACCTACCTCCAGTGCTGCACACCAGCTCCTGGCAAGGGACAGTCAGACCCCAGACACCCCCAGAAAAGCCAGCCAGGCCAGTGCAGGCCAGGGACCCTCTGGCCTCAGTTTCCCACTGTGCACAGTGCAGGTTGCCAGGCTCCACCTCGGCCTCAGTCCATCAGGGCCCTAGGTGAACCTGAGGTACGCAGGAAGGGAGACAAAATACCCCCTGCTTCCCTGAGGGTAGGCAGAGGTGACCCCCACTCCCTACCTCTGGGAGACATGGTGGCCCACACCTGTGATCCCAGCACTCAGGAGGCTGAGGCAGGACCAAGAGTTCAAGGCCATGCATGGGCTGCATCATCATCTGATGCTGCTTCAAAAAAACCAACCAAGCAGCCAAGACGTGCACCCTGGCAACCCTGCAACACAGAGGATGGGGAAGAAGCCAGAGCCTGTGTTCAGGACCAGAGTGGACCCTCACACCCCGCGGTTTTTCCACAAGCCCCCCCCCCCCCGGGTTTTCCATCACACAACTGGGGCCTCAGCATGAATGTGGAGACAGACAAACCTTGGGGACCTTGGAGACAACTGGCCAGGCCTCCTCGGGTGATAGCCAGGACATCCTGGCCCAGGAGAGCTGGGGCCTGGCAAGCAGGGCCAGGAGAGGCCACCTTGTCACCAGCCCTGACACAGATCCCTAGTCCCCTCCACGCAGGAAGTGGCTCCGGTAACCCCGTCGCCACACAGGTGGAGACAGGAGAGGGAGGGATGGAAACAGTGCCCACCCAGGGTGGGGCCGCCACCAGCAGGGTCGGCCCGTCTGTCCCTTTAAGAGAAGGGGGAGCGCGCGCCCCTCAGCCACCCAGTCCTGTCCTCCATCCTAGCTGCATCCAAACCAGAAAGGGAAAATGAAAGAGGGACCCGGAGAGACGGGTCCCAGCCGGTGCCCCAGCTCCCACGCTTCGCCTTGAAGGCCGGGCCCTGGCCCAGGGTGAGTGGGGGGACCCGTGCCTATCTGGGGACGTCGGGGTCCTGCCAGGGACTGCGGGAGGTGGGAGGTTAGGGGGACAGGGCCATCCTGGGGTTAGCCGGGTCCTGAGCTCGGACACGGCGGGAGCTGGGGGGCAGAAAGGGTCCCCCAAAGTCCTGCCTCAGGGTCAGGATTCAAGGTTCCGTGCGGGCGCCAGCCTCCTCTTGGGGGCTCCTCGTCCCGGAGGGCGGGGACCCCGCCTTCCCTGGGACCCAAGCGCCACCCCCCAACACAGCAAGTTCTGAAAGCACCCCGCGCCTTCCCCAGCGCCCCCCTCCCCCGCGCCATGGCCGAGTGGGCCTTCCTGGGCTCGCTGCTGGACGCCGTGCAGCTGCAGTCGCCGCTGCTGGGCCGCCTGTGGCTGGTGGTCATGCTCATCTTCCGCATCCTGGTGCTGGCCACGGTGGGCGGTGCCGTGTTCGAGGACGAGCAGGAGGAGTTTGTGTGCAACACGCTGCAGCCCGGCTGTCGCCAGACCTGCTACGACCGCGCCTTCCCAGTGTCCCACTACCGCTTCTGGCTCTTCCACATCCTGCTGCTGTCGGCGCCGCCCGTGCTCTTTGGCATCTACACCCGGCACCAGGCGGGCAAGCGCGCGGGCGCCGCGGCCACGGCCACGGGGCCCCTGGGGACGCCGGGCACCTCGGGGACGCCGGGCACCTCGGGGACGCCCGGGCCCCCGGCCTGCCGCATGCGTCGCTGCTACTTGCTGAGCGTGGCGCTGCGCCTGGGCGCCGAGGTGGCCTCACTGGGCGGCCAGGCGCTGCTCTACGGCTTCCGCGTGGCCCCGCGCTTCGCCTGCAGCGGCGCGCCCTGCCCGCACACGGTGGACTGCTTCGTGAGCCGCCCCACGGAGAAGACGGTGTTCGTGCTATTCTACTTCGCCGTGGGGCTGCTATCCGCGCTGCTCAGCGTGGCCGAGCTGGGCCACCTGCTGTGGAAGGGCCGCGGGCGCGCCGAGGACGGCGACCTGGAGGGGGCGCGCAAGCCGCTCCCGCCGCCGCCGCCGCCGTCCCAGCCCGCGCGGAGTCGCGGTTCCCGCCGCGACCCGGACCCCGACCCCGACGCCCCGCCCGCCTACGCGCACAGCGCGCCCGACGCCGATGTCGATGCCAGCAGCGCCCGCAGCAAGGCGTCCCTGGCCGCCGCGTGTCGCGACCTGGCCATCTAGCGGCAACACCAACCCGAGGCTCCACAGGCGAGGGGACGCACGAATTCGATCCCCAGACGGTGCCTGAGGCGCGAACGCGCGGCAGAGGTGGCAGGAGTGGCCGGGTGGCGTCGCCCCTACCCAGAAGCCCAAGGAGGCGCCAGGGACGCACGCAGGTAGCGAGCTGGGCCGGCGGGGACGACGCCCACGGCCGTGCCAGGCGATGCCGTGGTCCGGGGACCGGGGCCACCGCGCTGGCCCTGTGAGCGCGCACCCCCGTGAGTGTGGCCGCGTGGAGAGCTGCGTGTGCATGGCCACGAGAGCCTGTGGTGGCATCCCCGTGGGTGTGCACACCCATACCTGCGTGCATTCGCTTTGGGGAGCTGTGCACACTGACACTGTCCTGCATGAGTCGTGTGCGCCCACAAGTGTGCACATCCATCCTGTGCGTGTACGCATTGTGGACACTTGCACATGTGCATCACGCCGGCATTCCACACCTGCGTGTAACTGTGCACACCTTCGTCTACCCAGTGCACACAGGTGTGTACACAGTGGGGAAGCCCAGTGTGTGTGCGTGTCTGTGTGTGCACGCGGGGTGCACGGCCGGAAGGTGTCCCCTCCGCAGGTGGAGGAAGTGAGTGGCAGGGAGGAACCAAGGCCTGAGGCTGGCTGTGGGCTCATCTACCCTCTCCCCATGGCTGGCCCTCTGTGCTCAGGAGCACCTCCAAAACAAAGCGGCTCCTGGCTGCCTCCAACCAGCATTCAAAGCCACCTGTGGCCACCAGAGTCCTCTGTCCACCTCTGCCCCACTGACCCTCCAGCAGCCACACTAGGGTCCCCCTTGGCAAGCTCACCCCAGTCCAGCGGCCTTGTCCCCGCCCCCCACCTCCATCAGAGGTGGCCTCCCATGCCCTCGTGCCTTTGTCCCCTGTTCCTGCTGGTGCCCCTGGCTGCCTCTAGCTCTGGACTACTAACCTGCGCCTCTGCAGCCCCGGTGGGGGCAGCTTGGCCTGGGCAGTCCCCTGCTCTGCAGCCCCAACTCCGCCCGCTGCTGCCCACCCAAGGTGCTGGTCTATTTCTTTCTGTGTGTGGTTTTGTTTTTGACATAGGCTTCCCCTAGGCAGTTCAGGCTGGCCCTGAACTTGCAATATATCTTCCTGCCTCAACCTCCAGAGTCCTGCCTGCTGCTTTTCGGTCCAATTTGGAGAAACAACCAGCTTTAGGAGAGGCCATCCCTGAAGGCCACACTCCAAGCCAGGTGTCCCCAGGAAGACAGCTCTGCTGCTGCTGCTGGGGGGCAGTGCCTTCTCCCTCTCCATGGCCCGAGGAGGCACTCGGTAAAAGCCATTGCGGCCCTGGGGTTCCTTGGGCTGATGCCCAGCAGGGACCTCTTGTGTCTCTCTGGTGCTGTTCATTGTGTCATGCCGTGGATGTATTCATTCAACAAACACTGCTGGGCACATACTGTGCACCAGGTGTTGGAGGTCAGAGTCGCCTGGTAGGACCTGTGATTCGACTCCTGTGAGCCATGTAGACAGAGCCAAAGGAAACGGAAATGGGTGTTGATGTTCTGTTTACTTCACTGCAGAACAGCCAGGCTGAGGTCGTTTCAGCCGGTGGTTGATATTAAAAAGTGTTCTTTTTCATATGAGTGGAGGCTCCCAGGCTGGCTTGAGTTCTGTTTCAAGGGCTTTTTCACCTGGAGGAACCTGGGTCGCCCCCTATGGCTGCCAGATGTCAGACTGCAGTGACAACGATGAATAGACACAGAATATGCAGCAGGTGGTGGTCAGAAGGGAAAAGAGTGACATCCCTGCCAGGAGGACCCAAGAAGTTGCCTGCAAAGCAGCATCTGAGTGTGAGGGCCTGGCAGGTTCAAAGGGCCTGTGGCAGAACGTGTGGAAGCCAACAAGGAGCTGGGGTGGCCACAATGAGTGACAGGGCAGGATACAAAGCAGCTAGAGGTGACCCCAGCTTCTCTAGCTGTTTGGGCCTGATGCTGGCTGCTCTACCCCAGGCCACCTCTACTCACCGCAGCCCACTCTCCACAACTCACCAGTAACCTTGGTCACCTACTATATCCTAAGTGTCCCCTCCTCTAGTCTGAGTGTCCCCACCCTCAAGGCACCGGGCAGATGCCCACCGCCTCGGCTGCAGCCCCCAAAGCCACATTCCAGCCCTTCACTCTGTTGGGAGTGACCAAGTCCTGCTCTTTTTTTTTTTTTTGGTCTTTTTCATTTTTATCGGTACTGGGGATCAAACTCATGACTGCCTGCTTGCAAGGCAGGAGCTTATGTCGCTAAGCTAAATCCCCAGGCCCAAGTCCTGCTCTTGAATCCCATGGAGACCTGAGCACACCCCCACCTCCAGGTTTCCCAGGAGCCCTGGCCTCACTAAGTGCCCAGCCACAAGCTCATGTTTCCCAGCGTCTGGCGCAGAACCCTGCTGGCCTTACTTCTTTTCAATTCAAATGTCCTTTGTAAAAATTTCTGGAGCTAGTGTCACATGCCTGTCATCCCAGCACTTGGGAGGCTGAGGCAGGAGGATTGCTCTGAGTTCCAGGGCAGCCCAGGCCACAAAGTGAGTTCAAGCCCAGCCTGAACTGCATGACAAGGCCTTGTCTCAAAAATACTACTACTAAGAACAAAATAAAAATTGCTGGAACCAGGGAGGGCCACACACTGGTAATCTCAACTAGTAGGGAGGCTGAGGCAGGAGGATTACAAGTGCCAGGCCAGCCTGGACAATTTAGCAAGAATCATCTCAATATAAAAAAAACGATGGGCTGGGGGTTTAGCTCAGTGGCATAAGCGCCTGCCTTGCAAGCAGGCAGTTCGATCCTCGGTACCGATAAAAAGGAAAAAGACAAAAAAACAAAACAAAACGAAAGGGATGTAGCTCAGTGGTACAGCACTTACCCTAGTACCACAAAATAACCCGAATAATAGTGTGCATATTAACCTAGTGAAACAGCACCGCGCTCTTCTCCTGTTTTTTCCCTCTAAGGCGGTTGTGACAGCACATTTCTTATTGGTTTTGGTTGTTTTGATTTTTGTTTCTCGAGGGGAGGTGAGAACGAGTCTTGCTATGCAGTTCAGGCTGGCCTTGAGCTCACTTTGTAGCCCAGGCTGACATCGCAGTGACCCTCCTGCCACAGCCTCCCGAGAGCTGGGCTCACAGGCGTTCGCCACCACGCCTAGTTTATTTTTGTTTTCTGAGACAAGATCCTGCTCTAGTGCAGCCTGGCCTAGCATAGAATGTCCTTGAACTCTCGGGGATCGCCTGCCTCAGCCTCTGAAGTGCTGGGATCACAAACCTGCGCCGCAGCCCCCAGCAGCACAGGTTGTTAAAGTGGCGTTAAATCCTCCTTGCGCTGCGCAGCGCAGGTGCAGCGCGCACCTTCCCGGGTTCCTCCGCGGCAGGGAGGTGAGCGAAGAGCTGCTGCCCCCTGGCGGGGGAAGCCACAATAGCAGGGCAAACCTCGGGTCCCTACCTCCTCCCACCAGGCCCTGGCGACTGAGCCGCTTCCGGGGTGCCGCCTGAGCTGTGTGACCAGGGCAAAGGTGCGGCCCTGTCTGAGCTAGAACGTTTGTGCAGTGTGCAACCCTACCTCCCCGGAGGCTGGGAGCACCGCGATCTCCTGGGCTCACCCTGTCGTGAGGAGCCTGACCCAGGCTCCCCAAGACCAAGGACTCTGGGTCTCAGCCAGGCCGGTGTTCGCAGGCTGCCAGCCCCCCTCCCGTCTCCAGAGTTGCCCCAGAGACCCCTAGGCAGACACGACAGCAGCCCCGAGGCAGAGGCAGGCCAGGCGGTAGAATAAATAGAACTTTATTCTTTACCCAGTGGATCTCAGTGGAAAGTCCAACAGTAACAGGGGCACCGCGGGGGCTCCGGGGCTGAGAGACCGGAGCCAGTGCCCGCTCGGTGCAGGGTGCAGCGGGGAGGGGCCTCCAGGCCCGGCCTGCGGGGCAAGGAGGGGGCACGCGTGGGGGGCGAGGCCAGGGAGACGGGGCTCGGCCGGCCGTGTGGGCCGCCTGCTGTCCACAGTGCGTGCGTGTGCGTGCGTGTGTCCGGGCCCCATGGGGTGCTGGTGGCTGTGAGGCTGGGGCTGAACATCTGGGGCCCCCTGAACAGACCCCGCAAATGATGCGGGCTCCCACGCAATAAAGCCTGCCCCACCCATGCCCGTGGGCAGGGGTGACTTGGGGGACATCCATACCCAGCGGCAGGCAGAGGGGGCTGGGGCTCCGCGGCACGGAGGGTCGCAGGCCTCCGAAGTGAGTACTTCACAGTATTAAAGAGAACCGAGGAGGCGCGGCTGCGGGGGACCAGAGTGCAGGGACAGCGAGGGGACAGAGCCCTGTGGTGCCCCTCCACCCCCTAGGGCCACCCCCAGCTCCCCCCAATACACAGCACGGATTCCTTCAGTATAAATGTGCTTAAAATGAAAATTCTTATTTAAAAAATCAAAACAAAAAAATTTAAAATAAAAACAAAACCAGCGAGAATTAATACCTGGGGGTTGGTACGGCAGAGTATGTACAGGGGGACCCCCACCCCGGCCACCCCCTCTGTCACCAACTAAGGGAGGGGGGCTCCAGCGGGGAGCGGATGGCTTGTGAGTTCGGGCGAGGGCCAGGGGCCGGCCCGCGCCTGCTGGTGCTGAAGGTGGACACGGTGGGCAGGGGTCCCTTTGGTCCCTGCTGCCACTGCCACCAGCCCAGTCCGTGTCACTGTCACCATCGCTGCGGGCCAACCGGCCGCCTCCCTGCCATCACGGTCACCAGAAGGTCCCGGGTCTGTCTGGACGGCTGGCGGGTCCAGTGCAGTCGGTGGGAGGCAGAGATCGCCGGAGCCCGGGGCCAGGGCTGCCTCCGGGCACCACCACGGTCAAGGTCACGGTTGAGTTCGCGGCTGGGGTCACGGCGAGTGGGTGGCCGGGCTGCTTCTGTTGGAGCTGGGGCTGAGGCTGGGGCTACAGCTGCCTGGCGGGGCGGCCAGGCCTCCCCCGTCCCGCCCGCCGCCCCCCGGCTGTCCGTTCAGAGTGTCCAAGCCCTCGGAGTTCTCCAGCATCTCCTGGATGAGCGGCGGCATGGAACCCGGGATCTCCATCTTCAGCGTGATCACGCGCTCGGCGCCTGCCAGGCAAGCGGGGCGGGTCAGGGTGCTGCCGCGGGGGGAGGGGCGCTCCTGACCCTCAGTCCGGGGGGCTTGGGACAGGGGAGCAAAGCCTCTAAATTTTACTATCACTGAGCCGGCCGTGTGCCACACGCCCGGGATCCTAGATTTGGGAGGCTGAAGCAGAAGGATCGCCGTGGATTCCGGGCCAGATTGGGCTCCACAGTGAGAATACATGAACTCCACGGGTGGGGAACTCAGGCTCAAAACTCTAAGCGACGGCTCTGTGTTCCCTGACCTGCCGCGCGAAGCCGCAGAGGGGACAGGCTGGGTCCCGACAAGCAGGACATCCTCAAGGCCTAGCAGGGCCGGCTCACCCTTGGCGCTGATGCTGCGCAGGTCTGTGATCTTCATGAGCATCTTGGGGAACATGTGGGGGCGGCTGGGCCTGCGCTTCCTCACGTAGACCTTCAGAGCTTCCAGCAGCGGCTCCTGCAGCAGGTCCACGCGCTCTGGCTGCTCCAGGTCCTGCCGGTCTGAGAGAGCCGGGAACACAGCTCAGCTGCACTGCAGGCTGCGGCCACCGGGGGGCGCGCGTGCAACGGCCGGGATTCCCCAAGGCAGGGCAAGGCAGGGCAGGGCAGGGCAGGGCAGGGCAGCAGGGGCACCTGGTAGGGAGGGAGGATTTAAGCACAGAAGGTAGAAGCAGAGGCTGCCTCAGCGCCCCTCACAGCCTGCAGGGCATGCAGAGGGAGGATTCCAGTGGCTGCCCACTCCCACCCATCACCATTCAGGACACCTGGGTGACAAGGTAAAAATTGAAATAAAATAACAGTAAATGCTCGGCGTGGAGGCACGCGCCTTGTCATTGCAGCACTTGGAGGCTGAGGCAGGAGGATCAGGGCCAGCCTAGACTACACAGTAAGACCCCATCTCACAAAACTCCCAAATGAAAACAATTAAACATAAGCATAACAGACACACTCACTGAGTTAACGTTAACCCAGCTGAATGATGCAGAGACTGCGCTCCTACTGAGCAGAAAGGGAGACTGTGGCATGTCAGGAGACTGCCCAAGGCCACCAAGGCCAGGGCTCCAGCATGGTGTCCAACCCTCCTGGCCCTGCTCTTCACCCCCTGCACAAGCACCCCCCAGAAATGGGGAGCCCAGGTTCCAGCCGCCTGTCCCCACCTTCCCAGAGGCCCAGTGAGCCCCACTCCTGTGCCTTGGTGTCCCCTGCGAGACCACACAGGTGCCACCTGGCCTCCCCCAGCCTCACCCACCTCCACAGATGAGGCAGATAGCGCTGAGCAGCCCTGTCTCTGCATCGTCCATCTCCAGGGGCAGCAGCTGGTTGGCGAAGGCAAAGACCAGGTCGGTGAGGGGGCCAAAGCCAGCATTGTGCATCTGGGTCCGGTTCAGGGTCAGCCCATCAGAGAAGGTCATGGTGTCCTGCTCGGGTGTGTACCGCGTGCAGATCCGCAGGATCTGGTGGCAGAGGGCAAGGCTCAGGGCTTGGGGCTTGCCTAGGCCCACAACCCCTACCAGGGACCTGCCACCGTGGATGGGACTCCAAAGGTGACAGAGGGTCCGCAAGCCCCAGCAGCCCAGAGCACTGGCAGCGCTGGGCTGAGTGTTACTGTAACTAATCCATCATGTGGGCCACAGCCCGCATGCAGTGCATACCTAGGTCACCCTGAGTCCAGGCAGGGAGCTCTGGGGAGACCAGCATCTGGGAGGCAGGGAGCTCGGAGCTCTGTAAAGGTCTCCTGGCTCAAACTCCCAACCCCCACGGCTGCCCCCCCCCACCCACCCAAACCAGCTTCCCTGGGGAAGCGTCTGGGAGACAGCGGGGCCCAAGCTGGTGCGTGGATGGCAGGGACCCTGGCAGCCCCTCTTGCGCCTGTGTGCTGGCTCCAGCAAGCCCACCACCGCTGCCTCCCAGGAGGGGACGCTGCCCCCCTTTCTGCAACAGCCCTAGGGGCCACTCCTCGGGGATACTGGCCCTGCAGCTCCCACTGCTAGGGCTCCCTCGCCAGGCAGAGTCCAGCCCTGCGCCCCTCACTTATTTGACCTGTGTCTGTCATCCAGGCAGCACCCCAGAAAGGTGTCAGGAGGAGGAGTAGGGAACCCTTGCCCGGCCTGCCCCCCAGTTTGGGACCAGCCAGTGAACTGGCCAGGCAACTCTGCTAGGGTCTGTACAGGGGTGGGTAGGAACCCGGGGGGATGTGCATACAGCCCAGCACCAAGAGCTGCTGGACGGGGCAGAGGATGGGTCTGAGGGGCGGTGGGCGCACCAGGATGTCCAGGCAGGCGGCCTTGAGGAGCGTAATCTGGTCAGCAATGGTGAGGGTGGTGAAGCCGGGCAGCTGCTTGGCAAACTCCACGGTCTTGATGATGCACTTGGTGGAGAGCTCGCTGAACTTATCCCACAGGTCAATGTCCAGGGACACACGCTGCTCCGAGCTGTTGTTCTGGGGGGCAGGACAGTGAGCGCCTTGCCACGGCCCCCGCCCGCCCCAGCCAAGGCCCTGGAAGAGGGGGAGCCAAGGTGGTGTAGCCTGGGGTACCCGTCGCGGGCCATACCGTAGTGTATTTGCCCAGCTGGCAGAGGGCCGGGAAGGTCTCCTGGTGCGCTTTGCGCACCTTCTCGATGAGCTCCCCAACCTCGGGCGTCAGAGTGCAGCTCTCTGAGCTCTCAGGCTTGGGCACCTCCTTCTTCTTCTTATTGCGGTCGTTCCTCACAGCTGTGGGAGACATAGGCAGGAGGTGAGCGGTCAGGGAGGGGCAACTACACAGCATCCACCTCAGGTCCAGGTCAGGCTTGGCCTGAGCAGGTCCCTCGGGTCAGCAGCCAGCTGCTCCGGAGGTCACAGGCACATGTGCACAGGGAGGTGAAGACTCAGTCCCTGGCCCTCCAAGCCTACTTTACCCACACCACAAACACCGCCCAGGGACCCCTGAGCACTGGGTGCTGAGTGCTGGCCCCTGAGTGCTGGCCACGCACACGGGATCCGCCCGTGGCATCAGGGCAGGGCAACTTAGGTGCCTGCATCCCTTCCTGGACTCTGCTGCAGGCCCTGCAGAAGGACTTGCCAGGCCTGCCCCGCCCCCTCCTGGGGTCCCTGGGACCCACTCTGAGCAGCTCCTGGGGCAGCCAGTGTCAGCCTCTGGAGCAGTGGGGCTCCCCAGCCCAGAGTGGGGGCCAAGTGGAGGAGACTGTCTGGGTCCATTAGCAGGGGAGCTGACAAATCGCCAGGGGCACTGAGCCGCACACACTGCTTGGCTTTAAAGAAGCGCTGGGGTCGTTACCAGCCGATTATCCCAGACACACGATCACTCACGGGCCAGTGGCGGCGCTGCTGCCTAGGCAGAGGGAGGGTGGGCGTAGGGTGGGGGGGTGGGGGCTGGGGGGCCTGGCATAATTTGGAGATCACTCATGTCGATTCTGCAAATTCAATAAAGTGCAGGGGAGAAGAGGGAGAGGGAGCAGGAGAGTGGGGGGATAATTTGGGAAGAGAAAATTGCAGCTGTGACAAGACGTTTATCATTCGGAAGCTTTAATTCTATTGAAATGGCAGCTGCTCAGCTCCAGGGCACAGAGCAGCCAGAGAAGGGAAGGGGGGCTGTGGTTGCAAAGGAGCGGGTGTCCCCACTCTGGTCCTTCTGCAGGCGCCCTCAGGGAGGAGGTGAGGGCCCTTCAGCCCCAGGTCCCCGACCTGCAGGCCCCAAGTGGCCATCCTTTCTGCCTCAGTCCCAGACTCGGGGCTGCCCTCCCATCTGCCCCATGCCAGGTGCCAACACACACAGGTCCCCCTCGCTCCCTTCCTGTGCCTCTGGTGCGTAAGTCGGACCACAGAGCCAGCTCCCCCATCCCCCAACCCCCTCCCCACTTCCTCTCCACTTCCCTCCTCCCCACAAAGGCCTGGGGGGGTGTCCTGCAGCCCCCTCCCCCACTGCATCCCCCAAGGCTCAGGCTCCATGGCAACGGCCACGCAGACAAGGAGGCGACTGTCAGCGTCATTTATCTCTGACATCATCAATCACTGGTCACCATGGTAACACTCATGATTCAACACAAGAGGGTCTCCCTGTCCAGCCTTCCCTGCCCTCCCTGGGCTGGCCTCAGCTGGGCCTGATGGGGACATCCCGCCCCCGAGTGCCCAGGAACCCTAGGCTTCCTCAGACAATGGTTTTCTGATGCTTGTGCAAGGTGCCTGCCCTGGCACCCTTTAGGGATACCCTGGCATCCCTAAAGATGCTCCCAACCCCTCTGCAAAGCCAAAGGCTGGGACAGAAGCCGCAGGGCGCAGATGGGCATGCGAATGCAAGAGGGGTGCCGCAAACCCTCACTCAGGTCCCCCCCCACCCCCCGAACTCACACTCCTTGGACATGCCCACTTCGAAGCACTTCTGCAGCCGGCAGTACTGGCAGCGGTTCCGCGTCACCTTGTTAATGATGCAGTTCTTGTCCCGGTGGCAAGTGTACACCATGTTCTTCTGGATGCTGCGCCGGAAGAAGCCCTGGGCGTGGGGGTGGGAGTCAGGCCTGCGCCTGCTCCAGCAGTGACAGCCCTCAGGATGCTTTGTGGGAGCCCCAGACCTGCCTCCTCGCCCCCCAGGTCCTCTCTTTCGGGGACAGCACCTCAGCCAGGCTGTGGAGTCGGCACAGGGAAACCTGAGGCTGGACTTGTGGGACGCAGAGCCTGGAACCCACTGCCCTGGCCCTGGGGTGCAAGAAAATACTGAGAAAGCAGCAGGATAGAGGGGCACACAGGGAGGGCCTCACACACGCTCTGGAGCCAGCACTGACCACACGGAGGTGCAAGGGCCCAACCGGGAAGACCCAACCCCAAGAGCCAGCCAGCCATGGGGAAAAGCAGGAGCCAGCAGGCCAGGCCTGTACGTTACTACCCGGATGCTACTCCACACCAAGGCTGGACCAGAGTCCAGGCCCAAAAGCCGGGCAGCTTTTTTGGTGGTGGCACTAAGGACTGAGCTCCCTTCTCTGCCCCTTTCACTGTATCTTTTTTTTTTTGGCATCGGGGATCGAACTTGCACCACTGAGTGAATCCCCAGGCCCTCCACCCACCTTTTTTTTTAAAATTTTGGTCATTTTGAGACAGGGTTTTGTTATGCAGCTCAGGCTGGCCTTGGGCTCACTTTGTAGCCCAGGCTGGACTCAAACTCGAAACAATCCTCCTGCCTCAGCCTCCTGAGATTACTTGAGACAACAGTTTCCCTAAATCACTCAGCCTGGCCTTGGACTTTCAATCCTCCTGCTTCAACAAACCCCAGGCTGCCCCCACCCCCACCCCACAGCCGGGATCACAGGTGTGCGCCACCACACCTGGCCAAGCTGGGCAGCACGTGGGCCACAGGAAGAATCCCATACAGAGGCTCAGGCCCCTGGGGAGAGGCCAAGGGGTCACCCAGGCCAGAGCCGCTGGTAAGGTACAGCCACACCTGTGCCCCTAGAGCCCACAGCCTGGGCAGAGGAAGGTGAGGCCAGGGCAGGGCGCCAGCTCTAACCATCTCATGCCAGGCTGCTGTACAGAGGCTCAGACAGGGCTGCAGAGGGCAGGCCTCCCAGGTCCCTGGCCAGGCACCACCAGCAGCCAGCTCACCATGGCAACCCAGGCAGTGGTGGCAGGGCGGGGGCAGCTCTCCCTGCCAGCTGGAGGATGGAGACCAGGAGAGGCGCCGAGGCTGTGGGGAGCCCTGCTCATCACGGAGGAGGATGGATGGCAGGTGTGCCTTCCCCAGGGCTGCTGCCAACTCCCAGCTAAATGAGAGCCGCAGCTGAGGACCCCTCACCCCTAGACAGCACACACACACAGGATGAGCAACAGGATGTCCCACCCTGACCGAGATGGTCCCCCAGCTCACCTTGCAGCCCTCACAAGCGCTGACGCCATAGTGGTAGCCTGAGGATTTGTCCTGGCAGACGAAGCAGGGCTTGTAGATGCGGGGCAGGGGCGGCGGTGAGGGCGGGCTGGGTACAATCTCCTCGGAACTGCTGCTCTGGGTCTCGATGGCTGGGGACCAAAGGGGATGCACCAGTTAAGAGATCCAGGTCTCTGGCCTAGGTACCCTGTCCCACTGCCCCCACCCTCCGCAGCCTGGATGGGGTAGCTCAGCACCCCCCACTAGCTCCCTCCCGAACACCAGGAAACCATCGGGTGGGTGCCTGCACAAGGCTGTACTCTGGGGCATGAGGTAGCGTAGCCATTGGCCTGATTTAAAGCCCTGGTTGGGGGACCTCACTGGAGTCCCACCCCCCAAGATAGGAAGGAGTTAAGGCTTGATGAGGAGTGAGGGAAGAGCACAGGAGCTGGGGACAGAGGAAACTGGGGTCAACAGGATATTCAGAGCCGGCCACTCCCTTGCCCCCTCAGCTTCCGCTCTCCCTTCTGCCCCCTCTGCCAGCAGCCCCTCCCCTCCCCCACCCAGACAACCAGGGCCCCAAGGCAGGGTGGGCAAAGAGTCACAAATGTGCTGGCGGCAGAGTGAAGACAGCTGGGCAGGGGATCCCTGAGACAACTGGAGTCCCCACAGCCCCCATCATCGGGGTGCCCCACATCTGGGGGAAGCCAGCACCACAAAGGGGGTTCTGTCCCCATCCATGCTCAGCCTGTTGGGCCTCAGGGCTACATCCGGGTCCCACCCTCCTGTCACTCAACTCCCAGAGGGAAGCCAGGAGGAGTGACCCAGCCATCAGGGCACAGGCCAAATCTCCCCGTGCCTGGCCCCATTCCCATAGCCCAGAACAGACCTGGGCTGGCCCAGGTGGGCCATCTGGACCCAGAGACAGGTAGTTGGGGGCCCAGGGTGCTCAGTAAGCATCACGGCAGAGGAAACCCAGATTCCCTGTGGCCACTCAGCACCGTGCAAGAGGTCTCTGCTACTTGCCAGGAGACAAACATGGGCCAGGATGCCCCCCCACAACCAGAACAGCTTCTGGCTCCCTCCCATCCCCACCCCACCTCACATGTGCCCACAACCCACGAGAGACACAAGTCCCACGATCGAGCCCCTGAGTCCACAAGCAAGGGGACACGGGGCTGGCAGCCCCCACCCCCTTACCTGCAAACATACAAACCACTGCCAGGCAGCTGGTGATAGGAACCAGGCCAGCAGCCTTGGCAGGGGCCCCCTGGCGGGGCCTGGGCACCACCGCCCCGGACAGGCCAGCTCAGCTCTGCTGTGGCCCCATGTCCCATGCCCACTGTAGGGGACCATCCCTGCTGCGCCCCTTCAGGCCTAGTGGCATCGTCCCCGTACACCCTAGTGACCACGCAGCCCTGGCTGGGTTTTCCCCACCCCACCCTCCCCAGCCAGACCATCGGCCATGACTATGGCAATGCTGAGGCAGGAAGGCCAAGAACAGCTGCTGGGGCAAGGACTGGCAGGAGGTAGAGGGGACCACAAAAGAGCCTTTGTTGTACTAACTTTTTCCAAGATGTAAAAGCAGTAACAATAGACAATCCAGGCTGGGGGGGGGGAGGCTCAAGGACAAGGGATGGGGGCCCCAGCCGGTCAGCATTCCAAAGGGCAAAGGGGCTACAGCCCCCCACCCCGCTCTGCACCCGCCCCAGCGTGCCTGTGACGGAGAGGGCAGGAGCTCCCGGGTTCAGAGTGTAACAGAGGGCAAGGGAGCAGGGTTCAGGGTGGGGGACAGGCCACTCTCCAGCCAGGACACCCCAGAGGGGCAAAGAACTCTGGAGCAGGACCAAGGCCATAGGGTACTCACAGCCAAAAAAGCTGTGTTTTGAAATTTTTGACAAGGGAGGGTGATAACCCAAGGCCCAGACCACAGTGTGGGTCGGAGGCGGTCTCCTTCCAACACCCCCCAAGCAGCCTGCTGGCCACCTCTGCACCCCACCTCTGCCCCTCCCCACCTGTCACCCAGGTAACTGGCTCTGCGGTTTCCTGCTCTGCCCTTTGAACCCAAAGCCTGGGGCCCAGTCCCCACTTCCCCAGGCCTCCAGCCAGCAGCCCAGGACCAAAGCAGGAGTGCTGGGACCTGCAGTGGCTCTCACACAAGGGGAGGGCTGTCGAGGGAGGAGAGAGGAGAGGAGAGGAGGGAGGAGGGCAAGGGCCACCCTGGCCTAGCCCCTCCCCACCTGCTTTCCGCCAGAGGCCCCAGACTGAAAATCTCTCCCCTTCCTGCTCGGGCTCCAAGTGCAGTGGGGCCACACCTTCTGGGCTCAAAGTTCCAGCGCCCAGCCAGGGCTGGCCAAGGCCCAGGAGCCCGGTGTCCCCTCCCCCCCTGAACTGGAGTCCCCACACCCTGGTGCGGCCAAGCCGCTCCCTTGTGAGGGGCTGGTTTCCTGGAGGCGATCGGCAGGAAATCGGCTGGGCCCCCAGCCAGCCAGCATGCCCCTCCCTGCAGCCGGCGCCCTCCTCCACTCTGGCCTCCTGAGAAGGCCTCAGCACAGCTGGGCAGTGGGCACGGGCCTCTTCAGCACCCTTCCTCCTCCTCCCAGGAGGCGGGATGGCTGGGGGTCCTGAGGCAGGCGGAAGGAGGTCCCTGCCCACAATCCCCGATAAGCATTGCCCTTCTCTCCCCTAACTGGGCATCCACGTGCTTTGCATTCTTGGATGTCTGGGAGCAGTGGAGGCCAAAAGGCAAGACTGGGGGTTCCCAGGGGAGCCTCACCCTGGGCACCCCTTGTCCCCTAGTGCACCGAGGGGGGTTGAGGAGGGGAGCTGTGGGTTCCCAGATCCTGGGGGCACTTTCTCCCCAGCACTGGTGAGGCAGAGGGCATACAGCCAGCCCCAGATGGGGCTGCAGAGTGACTGCAGTCACCATAGGGCCTCTCCCTGTAAGGGGTGCCCACCAAGGCCAGGACAACTGCCCCACAAGCTCCAGGCAGAGCCTAGTGGCCACCCCCAGACTCCAAACCTTCCTGAAGACCTCAGAAAGCCCATGCATTGTGGGGAGGAGCCTGGGCTGCTGGCTCTACCCCGCCCAGGCCTGACTGAGGCATCCACACACACACACACACACACACACACACACACCCCCGCCCACTCTAGGGCTTGGAAATGGGGCTGCCCCCTCCAAGTTCCTCCTCCAAGGTCCAGACAGGAGCAGCTGAGCTATCCCCATGGGACCAAGAAGAGACAGTTCAGACCCCAGCTTTACCCTAATGCAGGAGGGGGTGGGGTAGGCAGGGTCCCTGTCCCCAGGGCTGGGATAGTGGACAGTGCTGGTGTCACCTCTGCCTTTTTCCAACACTCTTCGTTCCTAGTCACAGCCTCTCAACTAAGTCTGCCCAGAGGCAGAGGACAGGGAGCAGGACAATCACAAAGGCTGGGGGTGAGGTGTCTCTGGGAGGCGGAGGTGGACATCTGTCCTTTTAGAGCTCCTTGAAGCCTCAGGGGCTGTGGGCAGGGCCTGCCCTTGGTTCTCCAGCCTTTTCCAGTCTGCTGCCCACCCCTCCCCACTGGTAGGCAGGCAGTAGCAGGTCTGGGAAGGTGGGGGATCCTCCTAGGAAGAGCTGAGCCCAGGGCAGAGCAGGGCAGGGCAAGAAACCTGAGCCACTTGACAATAACCCTGTGCACCTGCTGTCGCAGATGACGCTCAATGCAAGCTATCTCCCGGCTGGCACCAACACCCAGGTGTGCACCGCAGCCCTCCCATCCCAAAGAGCAGGTGCCTGGCTGCCAGGACACAGGGTCCTCCCCTCCGCCACTCTCAGGGGCAGCACAAGGCTGGCCCCAACTATTCCCTGACAGGTAACAAAAGGATCCAGCGAAGGTGGGGTTTGGAAGGGTTGGACCCTCCTTTCCTGAGCGTTTCCACCCACCTGAAGCAAACTCCTCCCCCCCCCGCCCAACAGGCCGGATTAGCTTTAGGGCAGGGGGATCCCCCTTCCCCCTTAATCTCCTCCACTCCTAGGCCCACCCCGAGGGTCCAGCCCAGGTCTCTAAGGGACAGTGCTCCTCTTGGGTGGCCGGCAGCGGGGTCTGAAGTGACCCCTTTTTGCCACCGACACTCCCCATCCAGCCACTCTGACCCAAGCCCAGAGTTGGGAGCCACAACTGTCAGCCAGGAGACAGTCTGCCCATGAGGCCTTGGCGAGGCAGGCCTTCCCAGGAAGGTGGAGCCCACCGGCTGATTCTTCGCCCCCACCCTCCAGCCCACTGTGCAGCTTAGAGACGCGAGTAAGAGAGCAAGAAGCCGAAAGCTGGGGCCAGGGGCTGGGCTTCACGTCCATCAGGAAAGCGGGAGAGAACGCACGCAGGAGTCTGCCCTGAAAGGAGGAACCACCAAGTTCCTCGCTCGAAGACAGCAAACAGCACTCCGGGGTCACGGAATGGGCCCTGCGCAGCAGGGCCCCGAGCTGCAGCCAGAGCTGACCCGAGATCGACAGCGCGCCCCGGAGGGTGGACCCGCCGCCCCTGCCCAGCTCCTACCAGACCCGCACGCGGGCCGGCCCGGTACCTACAGCAGTTTGAGCCATTCCAAAGCGCAGTCCGTACTGGGGTGGAGTAGGAGCCGGGGGCTGAGAGCCCCTTCTCCGGGAGCAAACAGGCCCGGTTCTGGTTATAAAAATCCACCACTAGGAAGGGATTGGGGGCAGGGGCGAGCCCCCCCACTTCCACGCTCTCGTACATCTCCCCCGGCGCAGACGGAGGTCCGGGCGGGGAGGTCCTGCGCGCCGCCCCTCACTCCGCCGGCGAAGCCATCGGGGGCGAGGGCCACGTCCCCGGCCCCGAACGGCGCCCCGGGCCGCAGCCCCCGCCCCAGGACCGCGTCCGAGTCCCGGGTGGGCGCGGGAAGTTGCCCGCGCAGGGAGGGGGTCCTTCAGCGCTCCCCGGGGACGCCCGGCGGGGGCCCCGCACGCGGCGGCTTCACCTCGAGGGGCCTCCCGTTGCAAGGCTCAGGCGTCCGAAGCAGTCCGGCGGCTCCCCGAGTCCGCAGGCCGGGGGCGGGATCGCCCCGGGGAGGGGGCGGGGGTCACCGAGCACTTCCTCCCGCCCGCTGGGGCTCCCGGGCTTCTCCTCGGCGAGGATTCCGGAGGGGGGGGAGTGAGGGTGGAGACCCCGCGCGGCCGCGGCCGCGGCCCCGCCCCGCCAGGCCTGGCCCGGGTGAGCGCGCCCCTCCCTCGCCGCCCCACCCAGGCTGCCCCGCCCCAGGCCCCGCCTCACTTAACCCTTTCCGCGCGTCTGACTGCGGACTACGCGACGCGGAGAGGCCTCGGGGAGAGTCGGCGTGGCGGGCCGCCAGTTAGCGTGCCTCGAGAGGGAGGACACGGACAGGAAGAGGACGAGGCCCCGAAGGAGAAGACGCCGACCGCAGAGGATGGCAGGGCGCAGGCAGACCGGAGGTGCGCGCCAAGCAAAGACAGAAGAGGGGCATCGCCCTCCCAATTCCGGCTCCAGTTCCATCTGTCCCCGAGCTCCGGTCCAGGTCAGACCCGCGGGGCCGCGGAGGTGCGGTGGGCCCGGTGTCCTCCCCGGCACACCCCCACCCCGCCCCGGCCTCATTTGCCTAATGCAATGCGGTTGAACTCTCGCTGAACTCGCCCGGCGGCGCCTCACCTCCGGGTGACCCACCCACCTCTATCCGCGACAACACCGGCTCGCTAGCCCGCCCGCAGGCCCCCTACTCGGCTCTGCCCAGCCCACATCTCCCGAGCGGAGGACGGCGCCGGTGAGAAGCGCAGGGCCCGGGCGCACGTGGCCAGGCGCGAGCGCCAGGGACACAGCGCACCGCGGGTCCCGGGGGTGACATTGTGCCGGCTGGGCGCGGTGCTGGTATGAGACACCCGGCTTGTGTCACTGTCTGTGACATCATGTGTGACTCGGGCCTCCCCCGCCGGAACCAGCGGCGAGGCGCTGTTGGCACACGCGCGGCGGGGAAGGGAGGGCTCCCCGCCACGGCGCGCAAAGCCCCGCCCCGTGTCTCCCGCCGGGAAAAGGGACGCACGGCGCAGGGTCCAGTCCCGGGGAGATAAAAGGGGCGGCCGTGGCTTCCCGCTGACCACTTCCTCCCAGAAACCCTCAGGATGCCTGGGGTGTTTATTTCCGGGGAAGAAAAGGCCTTGAGCGGGTAGATCCCCAGAGCGAGGGAATCCCAGAGGAGATGGTATCCTATTACTCGGGCTATGCTGAGCAGAGATGAGAATGTACAGGACCTCCGAGGAGATCCCAGCAGCCGGGCTCTGTACCCACAGGCGTACACATCTTCAGTAAATTCTCACAGCTACTCTGAGAGCTTTCACAAATAAACGATGGGGAGGCGGGTTCTCCAAGATCACACCACTGCACATGAAGCTGGGAGCAAGGATCATCAGCCACCAAAGCCCCTGCCCTCCCACTAAGCTAGGGATAGACAGCATTTTCTAAGCACCTTCCAAGCGAATGTCCTGGTGAGCCTGCCCTTGGAAACCCCACCTGAAGAGCCACTGGGCAAACAATCACAGACGTATGTCGCCCAGGTGAGTGTATCATGACACGTGGCTCATGGGCTCAGGTGGTAAATTAAAGGAGGCTCAAGGGTCAGCGGGAAGACCTTCAGTCCATTCAGAAATCATGCCAAGAGTCCCAGTAAAGGATGTCCGGGGATCCTGGGCCTCAGAGGTGGGTAAGATTGACCCAGGCACTCACAGAGCCTCCACGGGTAAATAAGCATGCACTGAAGCGAAGCAGCTGATCCCAGGCTTTCTTCCTGGATGCCAGGACCCACAGAGAAGCTCCAAGAGAAGGAGCAGAAGACCTGATCCTTGCAGTGTCGGTGACATCTTCCCAGCAGCTGCATGGAGAGTTGGAAGAAGGACCAGCAGTGCAGGCAGCCCAGGAAACCCAAGTGGCGACAGCCAGCCAGAGTCAGGGGATATTTCTGAGGTTAGAACCAGCTGGGTGTGGTGGCGGGCACATGGAAGCTCAGCTCCTTGGGAGGCCGAAGCAGGTGGACTGCAAGTTCTAGTCATCTGGATAAACACTGTCTCAAAATGCAGTTTTTATAAAAAGGCTGGGAGTCAGGTGTCGTTGCTCATCCCTGTCATCCAAGCACTTGGGAGGCTGAGGCAGGAGGATCAAAGTGAGTTCAAGGCCAGCTTGGGCTACATAATGAGTTCAAAACCAGCCAGTACTACATAACCAGACCTGTCTCAAAATAAGGAATAAATACACAATAAAAGCTGGAGTTGCAGCTGCACACTTGCCTGTCAGCCCCCAGTCTGGCCAACAGGAAGAGGCAGAATCAGCAGGACGGGAAAGGTGCAGTGCATGTCACAGGGCTCCTGAGATGGGCAGATGGGTGTGAGGACCAATGTGAGGGTCAGGGGGTGTCGGGCTCTGGCAGGCGCAGTGCTGGCCACAGCTGAGGCTGGGGGAGATGGCCAGGGTCCTCCAGGTCTGCAGGGTCCCCCGTGCTGCAGCAGTGCAGGGCTGAGGGACTGAGGCTGTGTCCTGGTGACCTGGAATAGCCTCTTGAGTGATTCCAGCCCCCAGCACCGATGGGGGGGAGGGACTCTGTGGCTGAAAGATGAGTGAAAGGATGGAGGATTTCCGGAGTAAGGGACCGTGTCCCGGGCAGCAGCCAGGTAACCGGCAGGCTGAGGCGGAACACAGTGCGCCATCACTGGGTAGGGGGACAAGATCAGAGGCTCTGGCCAGCAGCAGGGTCAGGTCTCAGGTGGCCGCTGCACCTCAGCCCGCTCAACCCTAGGCAAGTGTGGGCTTTGCCAAGCAAGGCTCCCTCCATGCCATCCCCAACCCCATCTGGAGGGGACAACAAACATACCACGAGGCCCAGTGGGCACCATTGTGTGCTAGGCTCTGTGGACATCGGAATGGCCATTCTCCACCCTGTCTCTTGTCATCATTGTCCCTGCAATATGGCTGAGAGTTCTCAAGGCCACTATCAACAAGTGGGTCACTGTGGCCTCACAACATCTATCCCAGCCAGGGCAGATTAGGAGTCTCAATGCAAAGGCAGGAGACAGGCAGGCTGCACGGAAGTCAGGTCACCTTTAGGCTGGCTGAGGTTCCCAGCAACCCAAAGTCCAGATGGGCCAGGCCCAGAGCCCCGTAGCTTCCAGTCTCAGGCCGCAGAGGGGAAGGAAGGTCCCGCCCCGCTGTGATCTGGAGATGGACACCACTTCCTCTTTCTGTAGATGCCACCCCCGGAGGGCAGCCCAGGCCTGCCCTGGCACAGCCGGTGGGCACAGGTCCCTGGATGCAGGGTGCACACAATGCCTCGGCCTGAGAGGAAGACTGGGTTTCCTTCCCAAGTCCCCTCCCCCAGCCACACTGGGCTGCTGGGGGGTCAGGATCCAGGCTGTGAGATGAAAGAGAACTTTCCCTTCAAAGCCCCCCCAGGTCTCTGGGCTGACCCTGCATTTCAGACCGGGAAAGGCAGGGCTGGGCAGCACCCCCTCACCCTTCCCTTTCATTGTCCAGGGAGAGAGTGTCGAGAGGAAGTGGAAGCTGCAGCAGAGAAAGGCTTGGTCCCTGCCTGCCCGGCGGGTCTCATGGGGCTCCTCCGCCAGGCTCCCCCAGGTCCTGCCCCTTCCCTTGAGGGAAGATCTGGAGCGGGGATTGCTGCCCTGCCCCCACCCCACAAGTGGAAACGAACTAGGAATAAGGGCTGGGACTTACACTAGGGGAGGGAATGGAGTGAGCAGGCTGTACCCCACCCCAGCCCAGACCCAGAGAGGGCTCCAGATCCCCCAGGCCTGTTTCTGAGCCCAGCGGTTGCCCATGGCTCTGCTACTCTGCTACTCTTTTTGTTGCTTTGGTTTTGGTTTTTGTGACAGGGTCTCTCTGTTAAGGAGCCCAGACTGGCCTTCCATTCCTGATGATCCTCCTGCCTCAGCCTCCCCAGTGTCTCTTACAGAAGAGGAAACGCCCACAGTAGGTGGCACCAACTGGCCAGGGTTCAACTGAGAGGCTGCTGCCCTCTACTACCACAGGAAATCCCCAGGGCTGAGACAACCCAGCTGCCCTGGAGCTTACAAACACCAAAGCCCTGTCCTCCCCCAACCTGAGGGTCACGTCCCCCTCAGCCACAGGACGCCCTAAATCACTCCCCTCCCCAGCCCCAGCCCAGCTCTAGACTGGATTCTCCCAAAACAAGCTCAGCCCATAAATCCCTTCTCTGCAGAGGCTGGGCCCTGACCCCTCCTCCACAGGGCACCCTGTAAACACCACCTCCCAGGGCAGGGGGGAGGGACCAGGGGGAGGTGTGTGCCATCCTCTGCACCTCCAGGCCACACAGACCTGAGGTGCTGCCTGCTCCTGCCTGGGAAAGGGGGCGTGAGGAGGTTTCCCACTACAAGGGTGGCTGAGAGCCAGGCACAGGCTTACAAGCAAGGCACTTGGGAGGCTGAGGCAGGAAGATCACAAGTTTGAGCCTTGCCTAGACAACTTGATGGTTTACTGAGACCCTGCCCCAAAATAAAAAATAAAACCTGCATGAGTAGCTCAAGGGTAGAGAGTCTCCTGAATTTGATCCTCAGCACTGCCAGAAACACTTTCACTTCTCTAGCAAAAAGCTGGGCCCCAGCCCCAACCCTCAAGCAGGGCCTGTGCATGAGAGTTTGACCTGCACCCCCAAGCAGCCCTAAGGCCACACCTCTGGGCCCCAGAAGAAAGCTCAGAGTCTGAGAAGTGGGGGGGGGAGGGGCTGGGGGCAGAGAAACTATTGTTGTTTACTAGGAAGGGGCGGGGCTGGGAAAGCAGGGTGGGGGGATTGCCTAACAGAGGGGAAGGCCACTTTCACCCAGGCAGCACCCGCCCTGGGGGCCAAAGGCTATCCGGGTGGGCAGCCCTCCCCACCCACCGCCAAGAAAGAGGAAGGGCTTGCAACATCCCAGAGGGAGAACCCTTTGCTCTGCTGGCACGGGAAGGCCAGGGCCTCCACCTCCAGTCCTACAGGGTGTGCAGCCCCTGTTCCTGTTCCTGTCACCTAGGGAAGGGTGTGTTGTCCACAAACACCAGTGACAGGATCCAGACTCCCTTACCCTCTATAAAAATCCCACCTGCTGGGCGTGATGGCACAGGCCAGGGATCCTAGCCCCCGGGGAGGCTGAGGCAGGAGGAGCAAAAGTTGGAGCCAACCTGAACAACTCAGTGAGACTTTGTCTCAAAATAAATTAAATAAAAAAAAAAAATCTGGGGATGTACTGAGTATGAAGTCCCTGGATTCAATCCCCAGTGCTTGCTTCTGCAAAAAAGCACACGAAAAAATCCCACTCTAGCAGCAGACAACTTTCCCCAGTTCCAGTGCCCCAGACCAGAATGTGAACCCTGCTCCCTCAAACGCCAGATGCATCCACTTAATGCCCAGCAGTCCTGCACCCCATTGCAGCTCGGATTGGGCCAGACCTGAGCCAGAGTCCTGTGCAGGGTGGAGAAGAGAATACAGCACAGCAGGCAAAGGATTGAGATGCAGCCACCGGGGAAACTGAGGCAGCACCTGCCTGTTCTCGGCCCAGGGCCTCAAGGGCAAGGGAGCTATAGGAGCGCAGACACCAAGTCCCTGCTCCTGGCTGCTGGTGGGACCCAGGAGGGAGCCGCGGGGGAGCCAGAGGCAGCGCTCCAGGAAGCAGCAGTGGTGGTGGGCAGTCGGCCAGTGCGGGTGGTGAGGCACCCAGCCAGGCTACCCTGGGGATAAAGAGACTCCCTGGCTTTAGGGAGACAGTGCTGCCCCCACACGCAGAAGGGGGCGCTGACCCAGCCCAGCTGGCACACAGGGTGACAGTGCCCAGCAGCTGGCCATGGCCATGTGCAGGGCACTTGGTGCCCGGGGAAGGGCCTGGCGCTTTGGTCTCAGAGGCCAGGAGAGGTGGACACGTTTCCCAGATCAGCAGCTGACCGCCATCCCTCCCGCAACGGCCTGTTCTGCGGCTTCCACCCCCTCTTGTTCCCAGCCAGGCCGAGCTCCCTCCTCCCGGGTCTGGCCTGGCGCCCAGCTGGGCCCTGGGGGCCAGAGTTACTGTAAGCGGCCTGGCAGGCCCCAGGCTTGGCTGCTGCCAGCTGGCCAGCACTGCCGACACCTCCCACTACCTAGCCTGGCTGGCCAGAGAAGGCTGCTGAGACCCTCGTCCATCCGGAACGTGACCCTCGTGGCAGAAGGCGGAGGCCCTCAGGCCCTGCCAAGTCCAGGGTCCAGCCAGGCGCCCTCTCCAGGGCAGCCTGGGGACCAGGGAGGGATGGGGCTTTCTCAGGGGTGTCCTGCAGCAATGGCAGGGGGTGTGGCAGCCTTGCTTGCTGGCTCCCCGGTGGAGCTGCCAGGTCCATAAACTTCGAGAGGTTTGTTTACCTCCTCGGCTCTGTCATCCCTGGAGCTATTTATAAGGCCCTCAATGGCCCTTCCTGACTGCCCCTCCTCACCCCCAACATCAGATCTGACTGCTGCCTTCCTCCACTAGCCCCATGCCAGCGACCCTCATCTGCAGCACAGGCAGCCCGCTCAGTGCCCCCTCCCGGGACTCCCCACGCCCACACTCACTGGCTGGGGACGGGGTGCTGTATCCGCTCACGGGAAGCTGGTGTGGCAGCGTGGTCAGGGTACCCGGTGGTGACAGTCCACCCAGCATCGGGGGGAAGAAAAAGGCGTAGGGGGGCACTGGGTACCCATTGAGGTGCCCGCCCCCAGGCGTCGGGCAGGAGCTGCTGTTGCTGGCCATGCCAGGAGGCCACAGTCAGAAGGTGGGTGGACAGTCCAGAGGTGGCCGTGCAGGGGCTTCAGGCCACCCCTCTCGGGGGCATGGGGCCTGGGCCCAGAGCGGGTCTGGGTGGTCAGCCTCCCCTTCCGTCCTGCAGCTACCTTCTGAAGTCAGCAAGCCAGGCCCAGCCTCTGGGCACCCCCTACTCCGCTGGGGTCCGCTGGGCTGCAGGCCAGGAGGGGGTCCTTCAGCGCAGTGGTTCTGCAAAGTGGCAATTTCCCAGAAAGGTCCAGAGCTGGCCTTCAGAATGACACAAGGGACGCCTCTCCTAGACGAGATCCAGCAAGGTGGCTTGGGGAGCCATATCTCACGGGGCTGCAGAAAGAGGGAAGACAGGTGAGTGGGTGCGGGAGCACAGGATTCTCCTCCGGAGACTTTCCTGTGGCACCGGCTGGCACAGTGCCCAGCTGCCAAAGCCAGCCCGGGAGCAGGGCCCAGACGCAGCTGGAGGTGGCAGGGGAACACGGCCAGGCCGCGGAGTGAGGACACAGCCCTGAGCACCAGGAGCCTCTAATCCAGCACCCCTGGGGAAAAGGTGCCCAGTGCCACCGAGGGCCAGGCCACAGAGAGAGGCAGAGGCTGGCTGCTTCCCCATTGAGGGTTACCTGAGGTCAAGGCAAAGATCAGAGGAGGAGGAAGAAGAGGAGGAAGGGGGGGGGAGGGGAGGAGAAGGGCAGGGGGGAGGGGAAGGGGAGGAGGGAGGAAAAGCCGCTTCCCTAAAGCTCCGGCATTTCTCAGAAAAGCAACTCCTAGGCTGGGGAGCCTGGCTTACACCACTTCCCCCCAGATCCAAACCCCAGTACCCCAGATGGGTTAGTCTCTCGGACTGGGGAGGAGGGTGGTTCACACACAAGGGCAGAGGGAAATGGAACCCAGGGGCTCCCAGGCATTGTTGCACCCTGTGTGGTATGCTGGTCCTGGGGTCGCCCACCCGGCCAGGAACAGCAAGGAGCGCCGTGGACTGGGTGAGACGGGTGAAAGGCCAGACGCCCCTCAGCAGTGCACACAGAGCCACACTCTGCTGGAACAGCTGGGCAGGGCCATGTGTATAACAACGGGTGTGAAACCCAGAGTCTGGGACACAGCCATATGGGACAGGCAGCAGCAGAGCAGAACAAAGGGGTGAGACACAGCCCATAGAAGAGGCCACCACCATAATGTAATGTAACTGTGCACAAGCACACACATAAACTATAGCCCCAGCAAGGGGGAAAGCTGAGGCAGGAAGATCACTGCAATCTCACATCCAGCCTGGGTGACAGAGTGAGTTCAAAGCCACTTTGGAGGGCCTGGTGGGCAAGCCTGTCATCCCAGCACTCGGGAGGCTGAGGAGGAGGACTGTTGTGAGTTCAAGGCCAGCCTGACTATGTATGGAGATCCTG